CCCCCCCCCNCCCCCCCCCTCCTTTCCATCCCTATCCCTCCCGGAGTTTCCTACCCATCGATCACCATCGAATGAACGAGAGCCTGGAAACGACCCCACCAACCTCCTAAACTATCATCTTGTTCTCTGTGCCCCTCTTATCCTTACTCTCACTCGACCGTGGCCCGCTCTCTACCTTCTTCCAACCTTCATATTCTTCCTGCTCGTCGTTGTCCGGGCACTCGGGCGCAACTTGTCGACCATGTCTCGGCCTCATTATGACCCTTACGGTCACCCCTCCCAGCTCCGTCCTGGATCAACCCAACCTCCTCAGTCTCCTTATCCAACCTCACCGTCGGGACAATATCAGGCATATGGAGCTCCATCACTTCCTCCCAACAAGCCGGCTCACACGCCTTCACCTGGCCCTCAGTCGCCCTATCCTGGAGCACAACCTTCTTATCAAACAAGCCAATCGCCCTACCCCGGTTCCCAGCCCGCGTATTCTGCACCGGCCAATCCATCGCCGTCTCCGGCTCCTCAGGCTTACAGCCAGGCTTATTCACAAGCACCATATGGTGTACCCGCGCCTCCTGTCCAAGGCTACGCGCAACCGTCACCTTATAGCACGCGGGACCAGTCGTATGGACAGTATACTCAGCCACAGCAAGGCTATGGCCGACCCCCGCCTCCCCCACCCCAGGGTCAGCCCTACGGATCAGCCGCCCCCCAGTACTCTCAATCTCCTACAGCTCAAGTACATATTGGTTCCCATCTCTCTACACATGCGTTCTCAGTTTCTTTCATATATGCCGTTGTCTTAGCGCACGTTTACTCAGGATCGTAGTCCGTACTAACCGAGTCTGATGTTCTAGGGTCAACCTTACCCTCCTCAGAATGCGCCTTACTCTGGCGGGCCCGTTCGTCCTCCCCAGCAGGGTGGGCCTCCCGGAGTTGCGTACGGTCCCTCGGGGGGTGCCCCTCCTCCGGCTCGTGCCACGGACCAGCAGATCGCCGCCTACCGACAGCTGTTGATTGGCACTATTCAAGAGAAACGCCTTCAAAGCTTCTACCCCCCTGAAAGACTTGATAAGCTCGTTCAGGCTCTGTCCAACGATGCACCCTTCAAGGTGAACAAGCTGATCCATGAGCTTAACATCCCAACCGAAGTGGCTATGGATATCATGAAGTTGGCTCTCTTTGATGTTATCTTGTACGTGGATGACAGTGGTTCCATGGAATTTGAAGAACGAGGTGTGAGAAAGGAACAACTGCGTTCAACCATCGAGGTCGTTGCTTCGGCTGCTTCCACTTTTGATGATGATGGTATCTCGGTGCGGTTCATGAACTCACCTGAGCAAGGCGATGGCATTCGCAACGCAGACGATGTTAGCCGCCTCGTTTCGCGAGTCCGCTTCCAAGGTCTTACACCATTGGGCACAAGTCTACGCAACAAAGTCCTGGACCCGATGGTGGTGGCTCCGGCCAGAGCTGGTCGACTCCAGAAACCTGTTCTGATCATCACCATTACCGATGGACAGCCGGCTGGTGAGCCTCTGGACAGTGTGTCGAACGCCATTGGCTATGCTGTCAACGAAGTTTCTCGCACTCAGTATGGACAGGGGGCCGTTTCCTTCCAGTTCTCACAGGTCGGAAACGACACCAAGGCCCGGGATTTCCTCGCTTCTCTGGACGAAGATCCTCGAATCGGCTCCTTGATTGATTGCACCTCAAGTATGTTGTGGCCTCGCTATGGTGGTATGATGCACTAACTGAGCCTATAGACTTCGAGGTTGAGCAAGATGAAATGTCACGGGCTAACCCCCCAGTGCATCTGACTCGCGAACTTTGGGTGAGTGCCTATGAGCTACCATCTTGACTACACGCCATTGACTGACTTGAACCTAGTGTGCCAAACTGATGCTCGGTGCCATTGACTCTTCATACGACACCAAAGATGAAAAGGCCGCCGGGCGTAGTGGTGCTCCGCCACCTGGGCCTCCAGGTGGTCAGTACGGTGGTTATAACTACAACCAGCCTCCCGCCCAGAATTACAACCAGCCGCCTCCCGCACAGTACGGCTCAGGAACTGGATACAATCAGGCACCATACCCGCCCAGCCAAGGTCAGGGTCAAGGTCCCCCTCAGGGCTACGGTCAAGGCTATGGTGGTGGCTACGGCGCTTCCTCACCGCATCCCAACCAACCTGGGTATGGACAGTCGCCTGGTGGGGCTACACGAGGTTACCCTGGCTACGGAGCGCCTCCCCGCTACTAGACAGGAGGTAGCATACTATTGAAGATGGGGGCGAACCGAACTGGTTTCGTCTTGGAATCGCTTTAAGTCTATAGCCATTGCTTTCCTTGCATTAATTTGAGCACTGTTATGTCATGAGGACGACCGCATAGTATTGGCACAAATGCAAATGACTAAGGATTCTGTCTCTGTATGATTGCAACACCATGTAATATCACCTAGTCGGTGTATCACAAGACAATAGCACATCGACGCTCACAGCGGTCTTGATTCAGATGTTTGACATACTCATACAACTAATAGTCTAGGCCAAGCACGACTTCAGATGCTGGTGCTATGACGTCATAATAAACAATATCACGTGAGCATGCCAACCAACCATTGACCAGAACAACAACCATGACGTTGCGTTAGACAACAGCTATGTTGCACCTTCAAGCCTGCGTTCGTAATGGACGCAGTGTATCATCTTCGAGATAGCAGACCACGGGTTGCACGACGAAGACCGCAGTCAAGAATAGCATGGATATTCGCCGCTATCTTTTTTATCAACAAGTACATGTCGAAGGCATGATCAACGGGTGGGGGGAAAATGTGACCCAAGCAGGTCGGAGGAATTCCTGTTTCGGACTGTATTCGCCATGGCCCGGGGAGGTAGAAGACACATTCTTACTAGGTTAGGCTCCACTGTAAGTTAGTGATGAGGAATAGCTATCCATGTCATGTCTGTCTGTTACTCTGTCTAAGTGTTCGTTCAACCTTCCATAAACTCAAACCAGTAGGCAGCCGCATGACAGGGAGAGATGATAGTAGACTGGTGAATGGTCGGTCTTTGCCCCGCCCTTCCCGGCTCTCTGCAGACTCTCAGGCTCTCTCTTTCTTCTTCCACCCTCCCACCCATTTAACTTTCTTTCTTGTCTTTTCCTGGTTCTAGGCAACGTCGCGCGAGTTCCTGTTGCCACCACATGTGTGCCCACCCGCACGGGGGGAAGCCTACGTAAAACCAGGCTACGACTGCCAGTTATTTGTGTTTGGATCCATGGAAATGTGGGTGGGATTGGAGAAATTTCTGGATGGAGGGAGTTTAGCCATGGATGGATGAATCGACTTTCTTCCGCCACTTCTTCCGCCACGAATAAAAGGCTCGGTGGGAGCCCTAAGATTCTGGTACTTTGGGACTGGGCAATTAGGGAGTCACTACTTACGGAGTAGATATATTACCTAATTGAGATATCAGGGGGATCTATATACTATGTAGTACTCATAGGCCAGGCGGGGTGTTGACGAGGTGCACATTCTGGCTCAAGTCTCCGTACATGTAATAAGCAACGTACTCGTAGAACAACCGAATATAAATAGCATATGGGAGAGAGGAGGAGGAGGAGGAGGAGGAGGAGGGCAGTGCAGGCGAGTGTGGTTGCGTGGCCCTCGGGGCTTCCTCTGGCTGGTTCTGATTGAGGGCGGAGAAGCGACCGATGAATGGCCGGGCAGCAATTAAGGTGCCTCCGCATTCGAATTCAAGGTTCATTCAAATCTGCTATCACCAGTTTGAGGAAATTAATTGATTAATATTCATTTGGTCCTCTTTCTCTAATTTCTCTTCCCTTGTTTTCCTTCCTTCCCTTCTCCCTTCTTTCTTTCCTTCTCCTGTCTGGCCTTTCAAACCTCACCGCTTAGCAGGCAAGGTGGCTACAAACAACATTGTGGATTGAACTGCTTTCCCTCCTTCATCTCCCTCTCCTCTCCTCTCCCCTGTGAACATTTCCCTCACCTGCGTGCAGTCTTATCGGGTAGATTATCAGCCAGTGGCGGCGGCTCTTCTATTTTCGGCCAGAGTGACCGCTTTCAATTCATTTCCAGGGCCCCTTTTTTCTGCCTTTCACCTTTTCGTCACTTACCCACATTGGGACATCATACCTGTTTGTCCCTCGCCGCCTGCGGAAACCCTGAACGGTTTACAGACTGACCACGCCGTTTCCTACTCATTCTTCTGATTTTCCTTCCAGACCAATTCCTTCTTCTATAAACTGTTTATTATCATCAACATCGCCTTTGGTTTATACATCCCGCGCCCGTGTGATCAACTATCTTTCACCGGGATTAATTCACAGTGGTACTCCACCCCCACAGTCGTTTCTGCTTCGTTTCATCCGTCGCATTCGCCTTCCCCCACCATTCCCAGCCAAATCTTCTGTCGCCGAACCATCTTACGGCCGACCTTATATATACCCACAACACCAGAGGTCGCTTGCACTGTACATACCACATTAATTCCTAGGTCTTCCATATCGGTGGTTTTATATGACGTCTCCCGCCTACGACGTTGGGTCATCTGAAAATCTAAGTCGCTGGATCTACGCCAAAGCATGAGTCCAGCTTTTGACTACCTTGAGTTTTCCGATCCGCGCAGTACAGCCGAGTCGTCCCGCAATAGCATTTGACTTCTCTGTGTCCAATTTGAGATCAGGTGGTAGCAGTTTGGCAGGAGAGAGATTAGTGGACAAGCGGGATTGCTGGTTATCGCATTTTCCGGCCATTCGCCATGCCCGACAATCATGAATCACCAGAGTCAAAACACATTCCACGGGAAGCGACATCTGCAGAGCAGCCAACGATAACAAATCAAGGGCCTTCGCCAACAGCCGGTCCCACTCCCGCCTCGCAGCTCCCCAGAAGCCAATCCCTGCAGATACCCTCCACCCGAACAAATGTAATTCCCAGCCGCTCCTCGATTTCGCCGTCCCGCGCCGTCTCCGATGCAGGTCGGCGACCATCGCAGCAAAATCATGTTCGATTCTCGACTGATCTAGAACGCCCTGCGGTGGACGAGGCCCAAGGGTCCAATTGGGATCGTCGACCAGCCTCAAGGGGATTGACCATTGACACGAACCTCCCGGACAATTCAAGCGCCACTTCGCCATTGTCTCCGCGCTCCGCATTGTCCCCTCCGTCCCCGCAGAGTCCTGAATCTGGGGGTCGGTCAAGGTCCCGCCACCGTGGATACTCCCTGCGACGAACAATTTTCGCCAAGAATATCGAGTCGCAGTCGGCCGTTACTTCTCCCGACGCGATCGAGTTAGGTACCGCTTTGCCCGTGAGCCCTCAGCAGGTCGAGGCTTCAGCAGATGGCCTTGCTCGAGCAGCAACGGCGAACGAAAACGGGCTGGCGCTGGCAGATGAGAAACAGGAGGTGCTGGTCATGCAAAGATCGGCCTCAGATGCCAACTTGGACTTATCCACAACTTATTACTCGGAGCCTTCAGAGAACCTGAAAGATGGCAGACACCTTTCCACGACCTTCTCATACGACCGGTGGCTGAAGCGCAAAGCCGTGATTGCCACGCTCAAGCTTCGTATCGAGACGATGGCCGAGACAGTTCGCAAATCTATACTCCGCATCAAGGAGATCCCCCCAAGCAAAGACGGGCGCCATATCGATCTCAATCCTGCCCGGACAGAAACGTTGGTGGATGAGAGAACCGGAAAGCCGTATCTAGGGAACTCCATCCGTTCCAGCCGATACAGTTTCTGGAGCTTCTTTCCCCGCCAACTGTTCGCCCAATTTACCAAGCTTGCGAATTTCTATTTCCTGATAGTCGCCATCCTGCAAATGATCCCTGGGCTGAGTACCACTGGTACCTACACCACGATTGTTCCGCTACTTATCTTCGTCGGTATCTCTATGGGTAAAGAAGGGTTTGATGACTGGCGCCGTTATCGCCTGGACAAGGAAGAGAACAATCGGAACGCCCTTGTCTTGCGTCCAAATGCTGGAATTTATCATCCGGCTTCTGCCAACGACAACATCTCCGTGATCAGCGACGTGCAAGATTGGACGTCAATCAAATGGAAGGATATTCAAGTGGGCGATGTGATTAAATTGGAGCGCGACCAGCCTGTGCCGGCGGATATGGTTCTGCTCCATGCGGACGGGCCGAATGGCGTCGCTTATATCGAAACCATGGCTCTCGATGGCGAGACGAACTTGAAGAACAAGCAGCCTTTGCAGCCGGTAGCAAAGATATGTGGTTCTGTGGAGGGTATCTGCAGCAGCGCTCTACATTTTGCGGTTGAGGATCCCAACCTCGACCTCTACAAGTTTGATGGCAATGTCACGGTCGCCGCGGACGAGAAACTGCCATTAACCAACACTGAAGTTCTCTACCGCGGTAGCATAATGCGCAACACTGAAAGGGCGATCGGCATGGTCATCTACACAGGAGAGGAGTGCAAAATTCGCATGAACGCGAATAAGAACCCTAGGATCAAGTCTCCATCGCTCCAGGCAAAAGTCAATCGGGTGGTCATGTTGATCGTGACGCTCGTTGTAGTTCTGGCTGTAGCGTGCACAATCGCTTACAAGTATTGGTCCGACGACGTTGAATCGAAATCATGGTACCTTTATAAAGCGAGCGTTGACATCGGTCCTATCTTCACCTCCTTCCTCATTATGTTCAACACGATGATCCCTATCTCATTATACGTGAGTATGGAAATCGTCAAAGTTGCTCAAATGCTTCTTTTGAATGCCGACATCGACATGTATGATCCGGAAACAGACACCCCAGTTGAAGCACGCACATCCACCATCAATGAAGAGCTGGGTCAAGTCAGTTACATCTTCTCTGACAAGACAGGCACGTTGACGAACAACTCGATGCGCTTTCGCAAGATGAGTGTTGCTGGTACCGCGTGGTATCATGACCTTGACCTTCTTCAAGAAGCAGCAAAGGACGGTGATCATACCAAACTGATCCACAAAAAGCGCAGTGCCAAAGGGAAGAAGGCACTCAGTCGCAAGTCCAATGTTTCCGAGGCTAGGAGACATCCACCAAGATCCTCTATGTCAACAGCAACCGGGCTGCAGGGACTTGGTATCTCTATGCGCAATCACCGGACCACAGACATGCTTCGATATATCCAGCGTAAGCCCTACACAGTCTTTGCGCGGAAGGCTAAGATGTTTATACTGGCCATGGCGTTGTGCCATACATGTATCCCCGAGGATGACGACGAAGGTAACGTCTCCTTCCAAGCGGCCTCTCCTGATGAGCTAGCGCTGGTCATGGCTGCACAGGAGCTTGGATATCTTGTTCGTGACCGGCAACCGAATACCTTAACAATCCGCACCTACCCCAACGGCCTCGACGGGCCCGCATGTGACGAGGTCTATGAGATCATGGATATAATCGAATTCTCCAGCGCCCGAAAACGCATGTCGGTTGTGGTTCGAATGCCTGACCAACGCATCTGCTTGTTTTGCAAGGGAGCCGATAGCCATGTCATGCGCTTGCTCAAGCGTGCCGCCCTCGCGCAAGAGAAAGCAGTGGAGATTGAGAGGCGCGCCAGCAAGCGTAAGGCCGCCGAGGCTGATCAGGTTATACGGCGCAATAGCGAGTATCATAGCCGCAAGGATAGCGGTCTTCGGACCAGCTTCAGCCGGCCGAGCATGTCGAGACGACGGTCAAGCGTGACTGGAGAACCTGTTTCGGCGCTGAGGGAGAGTATTGATGTTTGGCTTCGCGATCGGGAAACTGACGGTGGTCTCCTGACGCGTGGCAACGACCCTGAGTACTACAGCCCCCGACCATCTGCCCAGTTGGGACGAGCATCTAGTACGTTGTCGGATTCGGGAAGTTCTGTGCATGATAACGAGGAAGAAGACTTGGTTGAGGAAGCTCTTGTTGTGAACGAGACGGCTGTCTTCGAAAGATGTTTCCAGCATCTCAACGATTTCGCTACCGAAGGACTTCGGACGCTTCTGTACGGTCACCGGTTTCTTGACGAAGATACGTACACGAGCTGGAAAAAGGCTTATCTTGAAGCCTGTACCAGCCTTGTTGACCGTCAGGAGAAGATTGAGATGGTTGGCGAGCAAATAGAGGATCAACTTGAGCTTACAGGTGCTACAGCCATTGAAGATAAGCTTCAGAAGGGCGTTCCCGGGGCTATCGACAAACTGCGTCGAGCCAACATCAAGTTGTGGATGCTTACTGGTGACAAGCGTGAGACGGCGATCAATGTTGGACACTCATGTCGCCTTGTGAAAGACTATTCTTCTTTGGTGATCCTGGACCACGAGACAGGGGAGGTCGAGCGTTCGATTGTTAAATTCACCGCCGACATCACCAAAGGCACCGTGGCTCACTCAGTGGTGGTCGTGGATGGGCAGACCCTCTCGATGATTGAAGCCGACAAGACTCTGGAAGCGCAATTCTTCCGACTGGCCATCGTCGTCGATTCAGTGATCTGTTGCCGTGCCAGTCCTAAGCAAAAAGCATTCTTGGTCAAGTCGATTCGGAAGCAAGTCAAAGACAGCGTGACGCTGGCCATCGGCGACGGTGCCAATGACATCGCCATGATCCAGGAAGCCCACGTTGGCATTGGCATCACTGGCAAGGAAGGGCTCCAAGCCGCTCGTATATCCGACTATTCGATTGCGCAGTTCCGGTTCCTCCTCAAGCTGCTCCTCGTCCACGGCCGTTGGAACTATATCCGCGTGTGCAAGTACACCCTGGGCACTTTCTGGAAGGAAATGCTTTTCTATCTCACACAAGCTCTCTACCAACGCTGGAACGGCTATACAGGTACTAGTCTTTACGAGTCCTGGAGTCTGAGCATGTTCAATACTCTCTTCACGTCACTTGCAGTCATCTTCTTAGGCATTTTTACTAAGGATCTCTCCGCCTCCACCCTCCTCGCCGTGCCAGAACTCTACACCAAAGGTCAGCGCCACGGAGGGTTCAATATTCGATTATATATCGGCTGGACTTTCATGGCCACCTGTGAAGCCATGATCATTTATTTCCTTATGTTTAGTCTCTTCGAGAAAGTCATGTTTACCCATACTGGAAGCGACATCTTCTCCGCCGGTCTCCTCACCTTTACCGCCTGCGTCATTGTCATCAATACGAAACTACAAGCGCTTGAAGTACACAACAAAACTTACATGTCTCTGGCGGTCTGGATCATTTCCGTCGGCGGTTGGTTCTTGTGGAACCTGATCCTTGACGTGCGCTATAACCCCTCCTCCGGCGACGGCATTTACCATGTCCTCAGAAATTTCGTCAACGTTTCGGGCCACGACCTAGCTTTCTGGGCCGTGTTGCTTGTGACGGTCGTGAGCGTGGTGGCCTTTGAGATGACCGTCTCCGCCCTGCGGGCCTTGTTCTTCCCCGCAGACGTTGACGTCTTCCAGGAATACGAGCAGGACCTGGACATCCGCATGCGGTTCGAAGAAGCGGCAGCCTCGGAACTCCAACAAGGCTGGGACCACGGCAAGAAGAAATCCAGCTTCGAACTGGCACGGGAAGAGGAGGAGATGGAAGCCAAGGAGCGCCAAGTCCGGGAGTTGCTGGCTCGGCCGAGAGTCATGGTCTCGCCCACCGCCGCCGCCGCGAAGACCGGTGATGGTCCGGTCGCAACAGAGCTGGAGTTGAAGGAAGCCTACCAGCATCATCCTCACAAGAGTGTTGATGGACCAGACGACGAAGGGGAGGTCGAGAACACAGAGGGGGGCACCAAGACCCCGCGCCGCTCGGTCGAAATCCACGAATTATTCTCCAAGGGCTACGGCGCAATCCGGAAGGGCCAGTTGAAATAGACGAAGAACCTCTTCCACGAATATTCAACCCCCACAACCTGAAAAACAAAAAAAGAAAATCAAACGCAAAAGAAGACAAAATTGACAAAATGTCCCAACAATTTCATGGTTTTCTGCTTTTTACAAGCGTGTGTCACATCATCATCATGGCGTTTTTGCAAGAAATGGATACCCCCACACCTTACTTACTTAGCCTTCACTTGTTGTTTCTATCCACTTACTACCTGATTCCTGGTCTGTTTTTGGTCTGTTTGCTTGATACCGTTTTCTCTGTGTATACATTCTCTCGCTCCGTCGTGGCTTACCCAGATACCACCACGCCATTTGTTGTGAAGCATTAACGATTTTGCATGGGGAGACTGCTTCCGGTGTTTGATAAGAGCGACTATCTTGTGAATGAAAACAGACCAGTGGAGTAAACATAGGTCTTCCCTCTTCCTATCACCCTACCTGGTATTCTTCACCAGTTACAAGACATGTGTACGAATGGTGTTTGTGCAGTGCACAGCCGCCGTCACACATTCAGTGAACTTGTACTGTCTTATTTCTGATTCCTGTAGAGTATTTGCAGCCACAGCTGAGTGCTGCATATATGGATGGACTTAGGTAAGACATGAGCAAAACAATCAATCCTGAAACTATGTAAAAAGAAGACGGCAAAAGGAAAAGAGAAAGGGTTCGCTTGACGCAGCTATTAATATACAGGCAGGCAGTGGTATCTCATAGTAGGTAAAACAGCAGTCACTCAGCTAGGTAGGCAGTCGCATACTCAATAGAGGAAAATCCCACGGCTTTCCTTTCTCACCGCTCGGCTCGGGCGCAGCGTGAGGACGAGCCAGATTTGCAGGCTCGGAAGCAGACGGTATAGTGAACGGGTCAGAAGGGGAGAGTGATTCGCACTATAATCGTGGTGGTGGTGCACGTGTCCATAGAGGTGGACGTGGGGGTTGCGAGTTAAGGTCGGGGACTTCCAGAACAGTGGGGACTCGCAATCGCTGAGGAGGATTTCCAGATTTACTTCGAAGGCCGGCGTCCTCTTTCCTTGAAGTCGATTGATAGCGAGCAAAAGAACCCGTTCAGGAGTTCCTCTCTTCTTGATCGTAAAACCGCATCATCCTTGCAGCTCGTACATCTGCGTCCCCTCTTGAACCGGCTGCTTCTTCGCTGGGGCAGGTAATTCGTACAGCGGCGATCCCGCCACTTCACTCGTCTCCTGGGTTGGAATCGGGGCCATCCTCTGCCTCTGCTTTCGCCGACGGAGGAAGAAGAATGCGAGGGCCCCAATCACAGCGGCGGCACCGACACCCACGCCGACGCCGACGCCGACGCCGACGCTACTGGAGCTGGAGCTGGAGCTGTGGGAGGAAGCGGGCGAAGAGGTGGTCGAGGACGAGCCAGAGGTCGCGGCACCGGTGGACTGTGCTGAGCCAGTCGAGGTCGCAGTGGTGGATGAGGTGGTCGTCGTCGCGGTGCCCTTTTCGCGCACGTAGAAGTAATCACTCCAGCTGATCCAGCCGTACAAATCGATTCCGTAGGTACCTAACTTGGCGGTGGCGTTGAATAGTCCAATCTGGTATTGCGGGTTGGTGGTGTTGAAATCGCTGGGGATGGCCCAGGTGTATTGTTCCAAGGTGCAGTTGGCGGTCTCATTGACGACGAGTTGGTACAGAGAGCTGGTTGTGGTGAACTTCGCGCCCACTAGTTATACATCCAAAGATGAGGTCAGCCCGTGGATTGTAGGCAAGAAGACCCCCCGATCAAGACAAGAACTAACCCGTGATTTCGTCGATGAGAGTGCCTCCGGCGCGGCCCAGAGAGATGTTAAGTGGAGTATCTCCATTGTCGATCGCGCCCCATCGGAGCTGGAGGATGTCACCCGGGTTGACCTCCTTATTCTCGAGCCCATAGAACGTCCCAGGGACGCAGTCCGTATACCCTTGGGTCGACATGGTTAGAGAATGGAGCAGGAGAGGCTCACAGGGAAGCCTTTTCGGGGGAAGATCAGGGTTGGGACACTAGAGAACATGGCCTGGGGTCCATGGTCCAAACGGCAGGAACAGACTTCTTTACTTAGGGCAGCAGACCCATCACCAGGAAGTGCCCGTCAATAGCGGTCTCATAATATAGGGCCGTATCCGGCCGTAACAGCCTTCAACTACGGTCGCTAGCTCGTACGCAGTGCTGTGGCATTGCGACCGACCGCAAATCAGAGCCTCGTATACCTCCCCAGTTGGCGATCCTTCGTCTAAGTTGAGAATCCTTTCGCTCGGACACCAGCAGCCTTGGTGTGGCAATTGGGTGATCGGACTGCATTGTGGACGGGAAAACGTGTAGGCAGAAGGGAGTGCGTGCGCAGAGTCTATCGGGATGGTTTCAGCCTGAGCAGGGACCCTGCAGAGAAAGGGAGGAATTCGACATAGAGCATAGTGATTGCTGGCGCAGTGGTTGACATACTCCGTAGTTAGTACGGAGTACTGTTGTACTGTATTCAGTCAACCAACATTCGTCACTTCAGGGGAGGCTCCGCCTCTGCGGGTGGGACCAGGGATTTGGGGGCCAAATAATGGTTGTCCAAAGATCCCGGCGCTTCTCGAGGCCGCCCTGGACTGCCAGGACTCCGTCTAGTCCGAGAGTCTCCATATTAACAGTCGCTTCCCACCAATGGTCGACCAGCCCGCCAAGCAGGATGTATGCCTTGGGCTGTTATATGGACAGATGATTATCGCAGTCTGATCTTCCCTCTTTTGCATTTTGCGTCGAGGGCCATGCCGTTATACACCCTCCTTGATCGGCCGACCGACCAACTCAACCCCTCCACCTCCTGAAAAAGCAATGAGTGCTATAACCTCACAAGAACCCTAAAAATGCCGGCGTCTCGAATGCAACTGCGGCGACAGAATACACTGATTGCTTTGGGCCTCGCGGCTCTCTGTGTTTGGTTCTTCACCTCGCATCGATCGCGAAGCGGCGAACTGATTCACAGCCATGAGCAATTCTGGAGAGATTTCCACCCGCTTCTTGCGGATAATGCGCCAGACTGTCAGCCCCCAATACGCCTGGGAAATGCTGAATCTGCCGGCTTCGATCCACAAAGCACCGAACCGCTGCCTGACTTATTGAGGATGCCAGCCGAGGATATTGCGAGGATGAAACAAGCACACACGGCCTTCGCAAATGCGATTGAAAGAGCCCCTCCGGAACTCAATTACCAGCCACACACGCGTGGACTGGTTTCCACAGCCGGCGGCCCTTATCTTCCAGTCTTGTTGATTTCGCTGCGCATGCTGCGACGTACGGGCTCAACTCTGCCGATGGAGGTATTCCTCGCCGACTGGGAGGAATATGATGGCTATCTTTGCCAGGTTGTCCTTCCCTCGCTGAACGCGCAGTGCGTGGTTTTGTCGGAGATCCTGGAAGCGGTGCCCGACAGCACGAACAAGATCGAGAAATACCAGTACAAGATCTTCGCAATGCTTTTCTCCTCCTTCGAAGAGATCCTCTTCCTCGATGCAGATGCCTTTCCCCTGCAAAAACCAGAGGAATTGTTCACCGCCGACCCGTTCAAGTCTAAAGGCCTGGTCACCTGGCCCGATTTCTGGCGTCCAACAACATCCCCTTTGTACTATAAGATATCATCGCCCAAAGAGAGTGGAACGCAACCGGCCAAACCGACCGCTCTCCGGCAGTCGACGGAGTCGGGGGAAGTACTCGTGTCCAAGCGCACTCACCTTCGCACCCTTCTCCTCGCTGCATACTACAACTTTTATGGACCCAGCCATTATTACCCGCTTCTCTCGCAGGGCGCAGCCGGCGAAGGGGACAAAGAAACGTTCCTTGCCGCCGCCAACGCCCTCGACGAACCTTTCTATCAGGTCAGCGAACCCATCCGAGCCGTTGGGCGCCGGACGCCCGACGGTTTCGCGGGGTCCACCATGGTTCAGTACAGTCCGATGGAGGACTATGCCCTGACGAAGAAGGGCATTTGGAGAGTCAAGGGTGTCACTGCGCCCACGCCCAGCCCATTCTTTGTACACGTCAACTATCCCAAGTTCAACCCGGCCACAATCTTCGCGGAGAACGGCGTGACCAACCCGGTGATTGATGAGAGAGGACAGTATACGCTGGCATGGACGGCGCCAGAAGAAGTGGTCGCCTCGTTCGGCGACAACTTTCAGCATATGTTCTGGGAAGATATCCATTGGACGGCCTGCGTGTTGGAGGGCAAGATCCTAAGCTGGAAGGGCAAGACGGGGATCTGCCAGCAGACGAGGGACTACTGGAATAGTGTTTTCAAAAATTCGGCTGGTACGATGATGAATCAGTCATAAGCGAGTCACCATAAGCGAGTCACAAAAGATTAAATTCGATTGATAGCCCCTGTGCTGGTCGCATGTGCTATTGCCATTGTGAGAGTGAGCGAATGTGTTATCTAGCGTTGCGTTGTTGTGAGGACGTTCGGTTTGCGAGGGACATCGTACAATGCCCTGTCAGCAGGTACTCGGTTTGAATAAAGGACTCGTCACGGAAGATATTTCGGGAGGACTGGCTATCTGTCATATTTGCTGCGGACAATCATTCCACAGCCCTCGTCTGCTCAAGCATACGAATAGGAAAAGAAAGGCTGGGATCAGAACAAGGCCTTTGGGTTGTTCGACCATGCCGAGATCCTGTCTTTTGGTGTTTCCGCTGAACGTGATCCGAAACAAACAGGATAATACCTAAGCAGGACTTACCATACTAGGTAGGCGCTGTAGACAACTTGGAATTCAACCGTGACCGTGGATTGAAACAACAATCAGGGGGAAACCTCTGCTCAGTCAAGCATAATTAATGAGTGTGCTATATTCAGATAGATTTTGACCTCCTAGGATTACTCGTGAATTTGTGAAGATAAAACAAAAAGAAAAAAAAGAAAGAAAGAAAAGAAAAGAAATACCATCAGTCTCCGTTAGATTTGCAGCTCAGAGTAAGGCTTTGGAGAGCGTCCGGGTTCGATGGTGATGTTGTCGATGCTGAGGAGGCTCCTGGTTCCCAACCGCGGCGAGACATGGGCGTGTTGACAGTCTGCAGTGGCTTTTTGGCAAGGTTCAGGTTCGGATCGTTTATCCCTTGTTCACTTGTGAGTTTGCATCGGTTTGACTAGATACGTCTCGAGATGACAAATGCATTTCGTGCCTTCGGGTTTTGTGCTTAGTGTGACCCAATATATATCATGAGAAGAATATCTTATCGGCTCTGGTAAACAATTCATTTGCTCGTAGAGTGATAGACCTGGTGTTTTACATCCGAGCTTTCAGAAGTATACAATCTCAGCCCCCGAGCCGTGCAAGGCAAGTGACAGGGCTGCTTTTTTGTGCCCTTTCTTTCGCAGGGGCCTCAGGTGGAAGCACGCAAGACCCAAAGTTAAAACCAAAGTAAATCAAGTTAGGTACAGTCCTGCCTGCTACAGTCCTGCCTGAGGTACACCACGTAGTAAGCTACCACCTTTAGCTGTCCCCCCCCTAAAGCAGATGCACCTCTAAGCGAGAAAGCTTCTTGTCGGCAGTATTTCGCTAGCTTCATGCCCGTCTCTAGAGCCTAGGTAGTAGTCGGTTTTATTCACCCTGCCCTGCCCCCCCTAAGCGACGGACATAAAGCTGGCAATCATGGCTCAAGTGCATGCATTTATAATCGAGCACTAGTTATACTTACATCTCCACAGTGAAATGTGGGAAAATCTATCATTCTGTGGGCAAAAGCTATAATTATCTCTTCTTGATGAATCCTCCGTAAAAGAATGACGATCCCAAGACCAAGTACCAGGTGGCTCGGAGGACTATTGATTGTGGTGTGTATTGTGTTTGTGACTATTTCTGTTTCTATTTTTATGTTGTATGTTATATGTTTCTTGTCTTGAAGGCATGAACGAGAAAAAAAAAAGACAACATGCATGCTGTCTGCTGGAAAGAGGGGCTGAACGAATGCGACACCCCTCCCTCTCTGGGGATACTTCAGAGGTCCGTTGCCAAGATGATAAACATGCCCTGAGCGCGGGCTGCAGAGGGGGGGTTCACTATGATAAGTACTCCGTACAGTCCTCCATACCGGTAAGCCCTGGACAAGAAGTCAAGATACGTGACTCGTAGCCCATGCGGGGTGAGATTCCACCGACTCAAGCGAACGTCCTGATGAAGTTGTGCTGTTTGTTGGTGGCATCGGCATGGGGTGACCACCTGCTCCGTGCGTTAGGCTCCAGGCACTGCAGAAAAAGTGTTTGGGCCTGGCGATGGCGGGATGGAGGGATTGGATAGGAGCAGAGGGGATGACTCGGTGATGAAACCCGAGCGGACCGGTAACTGCCAGATCATGGCGTGCAGGACACTATTGAGCACCAACTGGGGCAGATCTTGTCGAGAACAGCAAGGGCGAGAGGGGGTCACTCGTTTACAACTCACGGTTAACCAGAAGCGAACTTCAACCTCCGCCGGAGTACACCGAACTACTTAGTACACATGGACATAGTACCGAACGAGTGGATCAGAATGCGAGCATGGGCTTGCAAGTTCAGGTTTGCAACCATAGTTTCGATACGGTGTGTGTGATTGGCAGTGGAGCAGGAACGGGTCAAGGTACATACGATACGATGACTTGAATCATCATCAGAGGCATGCATGAATCGGGGGACAGGTTCAGGTTGTGACGGCGTCTCCCCCCTATTGACATTGACCCGAACGAGGATCAGAAAAAGAAAATTCCCCCGGTGGTCAGTGGTCAGTGGCTAACAATCGATGCCTATCCCTGCTGCTTGCTTACTAGGATGCAGTCAGTATCTCGTTAGCGCCGGCGACGGGCAAGTTCTCGACCTCCCCCTTCGGATGACTGATCCAACCTGATCCATCCTGAATCCATGGGTGACTTGCCCCGACGGGTAAGGTGCGGGTGTGCCTGGCACTCTCTGGTGGCTGAGTTGACCTGCACCAATGGAAAACCACTGGTAGAGTGCACGGATCATCTGCACGCCCCGTCCATCCTCTTTCTTTCCCCCGTTTTGACCAAATCTGGTTTAGCTCACGTGGTACAGCAGGGAAAAACTCAGGTAAGGTACGGAGGTCCTTCCCCTGGTATCTGCTGCTGCACTCGGAGGTCGGAGCAGAGCTGTGTACCTGCGTCTGCTAGCTGCAGGACGACCAACAACAGGGAAATACGACGGAGAGGAAGAAGAAATAGCAGCGCAGGTTGCGCTCCGTGGACTTCCTGTCGATCATGGGATTATTTCCCCGTATTATCATGGATTGTTCTTAGTCGTAACATGTTTTCGATCGCAACTCATGTTCGTGGCTAGTCGCCTTGATTTAATTGATTTAATATATTTTTCGTGATCGGGTTGGGGAATGGAACCCAGATGGAAGATGAGACGGCCAGACCAACAACCGATGGAAACCGTCCCAAGACCCAACTCCCAAGACCCAAAACAGCGAGGGGGAGCCAGCAGCACGAGTACCGAACTGGAACCTCTATCGTTTTCTCCACCCGAAGCTAGCGCTGTCATGTGTGAAGGTCCAATCATCCACAATGAGATGGTGGGCAGAAAAGTTGCCGCCGGCACGGGCGGAGACCAACCCAAGACAGGTCGCCGAGCTCGGTCGTGTAAAAGGCACACCTACGTAGTTGTTTTATTAACAGACTTGTGCCCATCATAGGTGGTTCGGGAGTAGAATCTTCGGCAGCACGGCTGTCTCTGAAAGACCTTGGGAGGTGAGCGACCTCTCATGCACCTTGTGTATACCTATTCCTTAGTTATAGTTACACCGTGTAGGATCAGTGAGATCATGACATGGTTTTGATCGATGACACTGGAAGGGTGGACAAGAGCCTGGAACCCGAAGGCATCTTCACTCGAGCGAATGGAGTTACCCTTGTTAGCGAGCTGTAACTGGCCATCAACTAGTCAAGTAACTCCGTTCCGAGGGTTTACTAAAGATCATGGATTTTCTCGGTTCTCCCCTGATCCAGACATTCACCGCCCACGGTTTCAGCGGTCGAGCTGGCAGAAGACGGCAGTCCCTGTGTGACGCCCGCGCTGAGGCTGGGATGGAAGGGAACAATTGAAGGAAGGAACCATGTCCATGCACCGGCCAGACTTTCGGCAGACCAGAAAGATTCGTCAGTAACTCCGTACGATCTGGTCAGTAATCGATTTTATGCTTGGCCTCGTCACTGTTTCTTGTTTCCATCTACCGCGCCCTGGATACTCCATCGCGCAGAGAGCGCTCTTGATTCGGCAATCTCGCGACAATGCTCCACTACCCGGAACCCTTGGGGGGAGCTTGTCGACATCGGGCGCTTCTGCAATGCCCGCCCGGTCGCTGGAACAGTCCAGCTCACGTTGCTGCTTCGGATCATGAGGGACCCTACGTCAGTAGTGGACTCGACCGGACCATGTTCCGTCGACGGGAATGCACTCTCGCTGGGCTCGGTGCAGCTGCTACCAGAAGCAGGGACTTCGGGAAGTTGGGGGAACAGCGCACCTGGCACTACTTATGGTTGACGATATTCAGTCAATCTTCTACCGTTCAGATCACCAGACCCAGAAAAAGGACTGGCTGAGCCAATGGGAACTTCTTCCAGCCACAGGTGCCTTGCTTGACAGCAGCAGCAGCAGCAGCAGCAGTAGGGTAAGTGCTGGCTGGTGGTGGACGGAGGATGTCCCGAGGAGGACCTTACTTAGTCTCGAAGTATCTGATACGAGGAATATAAAAGTTCAAAGTCGAGAGAGTACAGTATACGCCGGCCGAGATGGAAGAAGCGTCTTTTTCTGATTGGGGGAGACATCGATTGCACAGGATGAAGAACGATCGGGCAGCCAGTTGCAGATGCAGTGATGCAAAATGCAACTGGATGCAGGGGCTAAAACAAGGCGGTGGGCATTGGTTCTGTAACAACCTGGTCTTGCTTCAGGAAACGCCATGTGAAGGTCTGTAACGTTCCTAATGTTTTACCGGCCGGCGGCGGCACAAGGCGACGGAGAACTGGAATCAGCATTTATGATACAAGGCAGGACCAGAGTCATAGGGAGGAAAAGGATAAATAAGGGTAATCAATACCAGCATCCATGATGTCTATAACAGACTCATGCTATGATCAAGATAGTATTGGTTTCTACGGGATACGGATTACTCTACCAATCGATAAGTATACTTACTCTCACTGCTACTTGCTTCTCCGACGTGGCTCTCCAAGAGATACTGGTTCCTGTAGAGCCAACAGGAAGAGACTTAAACCATCTTAGGGAGGGTTTGGGGAATTCTAGACGATCCAACTGCGAAAAGGCAACTAAAGGGAATAGAAACAAAAGACAGAGAAAAAAAGGGAAAGAAAAAAAGAGAAAGCCGGAAAAAGAAAGGAAAGCAAAAAAAAGAGAGAGAATAAAAAAAGAAAAGAAAAGCGAAGAGAAGGGGAAGCAAAAAAGGCCAGCCCCACGGAGACAGTCAGGAACAGCCGGTGCCAAAACAGCCCAGCGCCAACTACTGACTCGCTAACCGTTTCGGGAACTCCCCCATCCAGGCCCGGGTATCCATCCCATCTCCTGACTGACGGTCGGTCGCTCCAGTCCCGTCGCCCTCAACCCGCTTGCCCAGCCCGTTCTCCTCTCCTCCTGCCTGCCTTACTTACTCCTACTCCTTCTCCCTCCACCCGTTTGTCTTCTTCCTTTACTCTCCTTCTCTTCTTCTCTTCCTTACCGGCCATCTTCATTCCCTTCCCTTCTTTTCCCTCCCCCCCAACCCCATTCACTCGTTTCTTGTTGTTTTTACTTCAATTCCATTCTTTCAATTACCACTATCCGCTCGCTTCAGTCGATCGTTTCACTCTTTCACGATCCCTCGATCAAATCTCCTTGTCTTCGCTTACCTTGAGCCAAGATCTCTCAACCAGTATCCGCAACATCACATCTCGGTTCTTCGCCAATTGAGACCCGATCACGGACCTATATACTTCTGTCTCTGGTTAACGAAGTCATCGATTCTTTTCGCCTCAAGCTGCCTAGGTCAGCTGTTTACATTCATCCCGCTTCTTGACTATATCAACCCCCAAATCGACGCTTCCGCGACGCGCGCTTTTGTCCCGCCTCCCCAAGCTTTGTGTCTTCGAGTTCACCCCGTGTCTCACAGCCAAAGCGCTTCCATTCGTTTGATCTCACCACGATTCTCTCGCGCTTGACGCTGCTACAGAGAGACCGATATCTCATCTCCATCTGACTGTCGACCGGATCGTCAACCAAATTCAACCCCTACCTACACACACACTTCGGAGCATCTGTTTCCACTTTGGTCGTATCTCCTTTTTCTCGTCGTACTACCTTACAATTTCGCCATATCCCTGCAAAACATGTCTTCGACAGACACTCCTGACCCTGCCACCACCCCATGCTCTGCCACCACAGCAGTAGCTACGGCAACTTCGTCTCCCTCGGAAACCTCCACTCCATCTCCCGCCATGTCCAATGCTACTACTACCACGACTGCTCCCACCGCACGCCGTCCTCAAAGGAAGAGTACCTTGACGCAGCAACAGAAGAACAACAAACGCCAGCGCGCGACCCAGGACCAATTGGTCACCCTCGAAGTCGAGTTCAACAAAAACCCTACCCCTACCGCTGCCACTCGTGAAAGAATCGCCCAAGATATCAACATGACCGAGCGGTCCGTTCAGATCTGGTTTCAAAACAGGTTTGTAATCTCTCCGCGCACATCTGAAGTGAAATACTGACCGCGCCGACGCAGACGCGCTAAGATCAAGATGCTTGCGAAGAAGAGCATCGAAACCGGCGAAGGATGCGATTCAATCCCCGAATCAATGCGCCAATATCTAGCAATGCAATTCGATCCCAGCAAACCTGGTGCAAGAGACGCTTTTGGCCGGACAGGAGGCTACGGAACCAATGGGGCCTACCCTAATGAGCCGACCCCCTCTGGCAAAGTTGGTACGTTTGTCGAGCACTGGTGCAGTCGTGACATTAAGACTGACTGGCAATAGTTATTCATCACTTCACATGCCGTTCCTTGACTATCGGCAGCTGGCGCCGCATTGGACAAAACGCAATGGATCTCGTTGTTTTCTATTCCCCGGAGAAAGCATGCATGACTTACTATATCAACAACGACTCTGCCGGATACAAGATCGAATACCCCTTTGCCTACATCAAGAACATCACCTTGGAGTCTGGTGACCAGACCCCCGGACCAAATGGCGCCCCTTCGCGGACTGGCGGCCTAGTTGTGGAACTCAATCGACCCCCATTGTTTTACATGGATTCATCCAATTCTGGTGGCTTTTATCAGTGCGGTGACTTCACAGAAGACCAGCAAGCAAGCCAAATTCTGGTTCACCATCTCGGAGGCCACCCGAAGGTTCTTAGCGTCCAGCTCGCCAAACTCGTTTCCCTGGAGTCATTCCAAAATCGCCTGGCATACAATAACTTTGCTATGAATCCGCCCATGTCGCCCCCTTTCATTCAGCGTCCTGCATCCCAACCCAACCAATTCGCGCAAGCTTACCTGAATGTGTTTCCCGAGACCCCCACCCACCTGAGCGTTCAGGCGGTCCGTGGTCACAAGCGGCAACGAAGTCGTTCGGTTCCGGTAGCCGTCGACTTCTCCGCAATGCAGCCGCCGCTTGCCCAGTACAACTTCTCTCAAGCCCCTGCGCACTTTGGCCAGCCAGACACAGGGATCTTTGCCCCTATTCCACAATCGACTCATCCGCTGGCCCTGAATCTGCGTATTGATACATCTGCCGCCTATGGGTTTGATCCACGAACCCACCCCATGTCGGCTACAACTACCGCCTCTCCGTCTGATTTCGCCAGCCCGGGACTTTTCAGTACCGGCGCAGGTGGTGATTCAACCCCCGTTGCTACCAACATAGGAACTCAATTCACATTACCATTTGTCACGCCCGCTGTTGACTCAACAGTGGCACATCAGACGGCGTCCTATCCTAGTCTTGGTCATGCCGACCCTATGATCGCCAACCATTCGCCACCACTCTCCAACATCTCGCACACATCGCAAGATATGTACGGTCTGGGTAATGAGCACCAAACAAGTTACTCGGATGAGGGGATGGGGATGAATGGAATGTATGCCAAGCACAACATGACATTTGGTGTTCCTCAATCCATGGGGCTTGAAAGCAGCGCTTTTGATCTGCCCATGCAGTCGATGTCTGGACACACCTCCCCCGGTGTCCAGGGGGAATTCCAGAGTCTGACACTCGAGAGTGTGGATCCTAACACACTGGCGCCCGGCTCTTGAGTCCGGCTGTACGATTTCGGTAAACAAACTTTGGCGCTTGGGTGAATCCTATGCCGTCTTCTTCTGGTTGACATTCGAATCTATGAATCTGGGTCAATCCTACCCGGATGGCGTCACCCTACCTCAACACACCTCGATTGACCCCTTCGGTAGGGTAAACGAATGCCTTTTCAAACTTCTATCTGAGACCTGAAGTCGAACAATTTCGATGAGACGGATTCAATATTTCTTACATTGTGTCCTCAGCGTGTCTTTTTCTGTATTTTTATTCTTCTGTGGGGCTGGTCCTGAGCGTTACACAGCGCCTTTTCTTTCCTTCTCGATCGCACCTGGATGCGCTTTTTTGATGCTTCTTCACTGCCCCTGACCATTATTTTGCTTTTTCTTCTCTTTTCTTCTCACATCCGGTCAGGGGTGTTTAACGTGGTTATGCCAGAAAGTCGGACTAAGACGGCGACAGTTGGTTTATCTTCTATTTGTTTCTTGGGTTGGCGGGTTAGGACATGTTTGCATATTCCTTTTGTGACGGTTATTTCGTGCCTTGAGTGAGGTGACCCTGTTCGATATTATTTACCATCTTCCAACGCGAGGCTGAGACAATCTTCGCCGGGGTATTTAGGGTTCGAGTGATATTAAGACCATTCCTCAGGGACCACCTGATCATGATAACCCATTCTTCCATGTAGAGGTTATGTAAATTGATTTGTTTCAATCCAAATGGCTATTGTGCAGGGTATCGGACTCCTATCGAACTCCACCGTATCTAAGTCTACACCCAGTGAACCCCCAAACTCATATAGCTCAATCATAGTACAGCACACAAAACCCACGGACTCTCCCCCCCTTCCACCACCTTCCCGCGAAAGCAAAGAATCATTGAGCAAACCCCTTTGGCACGGGCGCCTTCAACCCACGATTAACCCGAAGATACCGCTCTACCCACATCTCCATGCGCTCTAACACATTCGCCCCCTCCCGCTGCCCCCCTGCATCAATCCCATCCCGACACCACACACTCCACGCCCCCATCTCCCGCGCCATCAGCACATCCGTGCCCAGCCGATCACCCACGACCGCGATCTCATCCGCGCGCACCATGACCCCGCGCTCTCGGAACCAGGCCAACACCTCCGCCCCGCAGAACGGCTTCTTGGCCACCGCTCCCCCGGGCGGCAGCCGGAACACAGGGATAGCGAGGTCGGCCAGCTGCGCCTCCAGGCTCCGGACCTCGTCGTCGTAGCGCGGGTGGCTCCCCGCGCGGTTCGAGACGATCAGGATCGAGTCCGGCGCCGTCGTCTGGTTGAAGGGGGAGGTCGGCGAGGTGCGTAGTGCCGTCAGTTTGGCCAGGATCTCGGGGGGGAAGGTCGTCGTGCGCGCTGGGCAGAGGGTGTTGTCTTTATCGAGGATGAGGGCGCGGATCTGGATTTGGGGCGGTTTTTCGAGGGGTGTGGTGCTGGTGTTCGTGCTCGTGGCTAGGGAGGCGGAGATGGCGGGGCCGAGTTGTTCGGGGAGCTGGGTGATGGTTGGGATGGTGAGGTGCGGAAGCATGTGCGAGGGGTTTTTGAGGAGGGTCGTGACGGCCAGGTTGAAGGCACGGAGGTTGGTGTTCGGGGGGTTCATTTTTGTGTGTCAGTGGGTTTTGTAAAATTGGGGGTGGTGATGGTGCTTTTGCTAGCTGCTAGCTGTGGAGCTTAGCTGTGAAGCTTTTTTTTTCTTTGCGCAAGGTACCGATTTCGAAGGGAGGGTTGGGTGGATATTGGGTATTGGTTATAGGTTCTTTTGCGTATTGATCGTGTTAATGCAATTAGCTGTTCTGTGATGATTGTCTGGTATTAGTTATTAGATTGCGATAGCACTAAGTCAATCGACGAGTACGTATGTAAATGCGCGGATGGATAAAATAACTGGCTGGCCCTCAGCCCGCAGAGCCGCAAAACTCTCCGCCCGACGAGTCGAGCGGGTGTGGTTGCTTGCTCTCTCAGTCAAACATCGCCGGTTTTGTCCTTTACAACCAACTACCCCCTCCTTGTCGCAGGACCAATCGCACCCAGTCTCTACCTTCGACCTCTTTCCGACAGACAGACTTTCTCTCGAGTGATCGTTTAGTGCTCTATTCTCCCCGCCTTCTGCTTCTCTTCTCTCCAACCAGACATCACAATGGGCAAGTTGACCAGCACGATCGGTATCCCGATCAAGCTCCTGAACGAGGCGCAGGTGGGTGGTTTTGTCCTTCACTAGCTGAATGCATGGATTCAGCGAAGTGCCCGAGCTAAATCATATCTAGGGCCACGTTGTCACTCTCGAAATCACGTCCGGTGTCGTGTACCGCGGAAAACTTCTGGAGGGTGCGTCGTCTCTCTCGTCTCTCCATCCTCCTTACTCCCCTCGATCTTCCTCTCACGAACCAACAAACCTGGAAGACATCGTCGCTGACTTTCTTACCTACTATAGCCGAAGATAACATGAACGTTCAACTGAAGGATATCACGGTTACCGCCCGCGACGGTCGCGTGTCACACTTGGATCAGGTCTACATCCGGGGAAGCCATGTCAAGTTCTTCATTGTGCCGGACATGCTGAGGTTGGTTCCCTTCCCAGATCTTTCTCGGAGCATTAGCTGATTGAACGTTTTAGAAACGCCCCCATGTTCCGCTCACGAGGCCAGCGCGGCCGCGGTGTCGGTCTGGCTCGTGGTAAGGCCACTGTGCAGAGAGCTCGGGGCCAGCGACGAGGCTAAGGAGATTTGTTTGATGATGATGGGGATGGGAGGTGGATAATCATTGACTTGGTCGGCGTTTGTTTTTTCTTTTGTTATGGACTCTGCAACTCTGGGATCTGGGTCGGTCGGTCGGTTGGGGGGTTTGATTTTCCATTGAATCACATATACTACACGAAATCGAATGACGATTGGCCCTTGTTCTGGAGGAAATGGTTACCCGGTACTGAAAATCTGTGGGAATTATCGTAAACGTCCTGTAGGGGAGAGGGGATAGGGATGGTTTTTGGGAGCAACCGTCCGCGCGTGGGTTCGATACAAAGCTGCGTACGAGTACTTAGGAGTGGGGATGGGCAGCGCCAATCGATTGCAGCGCTGCCAGAAATGCTCGTAAACAACATTATTCTGGTCCATGGAAATACAAAACGAAGTGCAGAGAGCGAATACGAAGGAAGGCAACTGAACTTTCGCGCTGTCGCCGTCTTTAATCTCCTCCGCCTGCCTCCCCGCATCCGTACCAGCAGCAACTTTAAGCATCGCCAACTTTTTCTCTCGGGGTCTCTCTTTCACATTTCTTCACAAAACTCACCAACCCAACGAGAACAACACCTTTAACCTCAAGATGAATTCCGACAACCCCTCTACCGTCACGAGAAACATCATCCGGAATCCGCGCCGGCTTCTCATCCTTTCTCCCAGCTCGCATTCCACGACCATCATCCCCCCTCTCCTCCACACTCTCACCGGCGTACCGGTCACCGAGCCACCATCCACGCCCACAACAACGACAACTACAACAGCTCTCTCCTCCACCACAACCCTCGTAGCCTCCTCCGCCGCTTCAACCGCCACCGTAACCTCATCAGCAGCCGCCCCGCCGACGACCACCAGTTTCGCCGGCTACACCACCCACCCGCCTCTCCCAATCCAGAACCGCTACTACACGGCCGACATCCCCATCTGGGTTGACGAGATCCCTCTGTCAACAACAACCTCATCGTCACCATCATTATCAACAACGACTACCCCGCTCCCTCCATCCCCTGCACAATGGAAGACCGAATTCTCCGGCCCCGACGCCCAAGTCGTCCGCGACGCCATCGGCGCATTGTTGATCTGCGTCCGCAATCCGGTGGACTATCGGCATCACCATCACCATGACCCTCCATCATTTCTGCCGGATCCAGCATCAACTCCGGGGACTACTACAATCCCCACCACCTCAGAGCCAGAAGCGGCAGAAGATCGGGCGGATGTACGCGGATTGAAGGAGTTCATCCACGCTATTGGGGAGGTGCGGGGTTTGATTGAGGAGGAGAGGGGGGGCTTGGGTGTTGGGGAGGTTCCCGGGTTGTTGGTTTTGGTGGATGCTTCATCATCATCTCCTGCTGGCGCTGGCGCTGCGAAGGGGAAGATGAGGGGTAATGGTGGTGGTGAGGTGAATGGACTCCATGGTGAGCTGGATGATCATCTTGATGCTGAGATCGATGAGCCGTTCTCCGTGGGGTGGTGGGAGGATCAATTGTGTGAAATGGGGTTGATGGGGTGGGAGGTTGTGCGGTGGTGCCCCACGGGGAGTGGGGAGGAGGATGAGGATGAGGGGAGGAATCGATATGGAGGTTTGTTGTTTTCCTTCCTTTCCCCTTTCGCCTACGGAGTACCCTGCGAGACTTGGGATTTTTCTACTCAGGACTGACCTTTTTTCCCCGTCTTGTTTAGAACTGCAAGGCATGCGTCGGGTTAAGGAGGTGTTGGAAACGCATGACTGGAGTGCAGCGGAGGAGGAGACCGAGGAGTTGGCGATGGGACTCGGTAATGACGGCGACGACAACGACGACCTGGAGAGACAGCTACTCGGGTTGGACGACGAGAACGACGGGGCGGCTGGGTTCAATTTCGAGGTGAATGAGTTGGAGCGCGAGATGGTCGGTCTGCGCATGGCGATCGAGCGCGGCAGCGACGATTATTTTGTCGAGGAGGATGAGGCGGACGAGGAGCTGCGAGTGGATGCGGTGGAGGCGCTGCTGCTGCGGATGCGAGCTATTAAAGGTACGTAATTGTTAATAACTTTCTGTGCCATTCCTGGCTAACCGGATAATCAGATATGAGCGACGGGTTACCCAAAACGGAACGGAAGCGATTCGCTGCCAAAGCGGTGCGCGATATCATGAAGGAATTATAGCACATACACCATACTCCGTATATATGATATGATCTGGCATCGGATGAGAGGATGTGGTCAAAGTTTCCTACTTATACAGTACTGTACATATGATATCTATTTCATGAAACCTTAACGTACACATCCCATAACAGTCAACGCCACACACACCGTAGGTACCGGTACTGTTGCACAACAGTACAGTACAGCGCAGCGTAGCTTTATTATCGTGATACTGCTTGATACATGCAGTGTCTCCTTCTCCGTACTCCGTCCTCCGTACGGAGTACTCTCCGGCGAATCTCGGTCACGTCGCTCGCTCGCCCCCAAATGGCCCCAACCCAGAGCACAGCACGGCTGAGCCCATCATTTCTTCTTCAACGCCTTGCGTCTCTGAGCAATCATATGCGTGTAGAGAATATACGAGCCTGTTTGTTCCCCCCAAGAGTAATCCATAATTAGCATCACCCATTCCTCTCCCCCTCTCTCCCCCCGGGAAGCCCAAAGGCAAGGAAAAACATACCAGGCACATAAACCCCCAAAACGACAACCAAAAACCACCAATACACGGGGCTCACCGCCGCCGCGGGCTTCAACGCCTGCACCACCATCACACACTCACTGCTAATGCCCAACGGATACAGCACGTAGAAGGTATTGTACCGCAGCCACGCCCACCACGCCGGCACCCCGAGCCCGGAGACCTGGCAGACGAAGAACCCATACCGGATGCACTCGGTAATGCCCCAGGCGCTGAGGCAGCCCAGGAACGCGTAGTCGCCGGTCTGCGCGCCCGCAACGGTGGCGGTGGCCCCGACAATCTCGCGCTGGAAGGGGTACATGATCCCCCACACCAGGAGGATGCGGCTGGCGACCTGCATCGCGGTGGTGGTGGCGGGCGCGCGCACGAGGCCCGCCAGGCTGTGGAGGATCTCGAGCAGGGCGAGGGATTGCGTGGCCTGGAGGAGCGGGTAGACTTTTTGAAAGATGAGGGGTAGTGGCGTGCCCGTCGCGAGGAGGGTGAGGCCCTGGAGCGTGCAGGTGGCCCACAGGGTGAAGTTGAGGGCGTTGTAGAGGATGAGGTAGGGTTTGGTGAGTGGGGATGAGGCAGAGGGTCGGGAGGCTGTGGCCGCCCTGGTTGGGGGCCTGGTGGTCGTGCTGGTTGACATCCTTTTTTGATTCCGTTCAGGATGGGTCTATTGGTGGCTGTGATGGTGTTCTGATGCTGATGAGATGGATGTTAGAAGGAGCTGTACGGAGAGGAAGCGGCTTTTGTTTGGAGTGAGGTGTGTAATTCGAACGGAATGAGGAACTAAGATTCAATTCCAGAGAAGTCAACGCTTCAGGTTGGGAATCGGACGGCCGGAGTAAGTAGATCGGTGGCCTCAGGGTGCTGACTGCTGACGTTGAACAGAGGGCTGACTGGAGGTCTGCGATGACACCCTTTTAGGCTCTACTGTAGACTGCCAGGAAGAAAGATTTACCAATAGATCTGTTGATCTGTTGGGAGCGTTGAGCCGAGGTCGAGTTAGGTAATCACCCTCCCCCGGATTTTCCAATCCAGACTGACGGAACCCTTGGATCTCAATCAGTCTGCAAAACAACCAGACAAGCGTAACGCTTGACGCAATGCAGATGCTACAAGCATGTTCTCTACATCCAACCCCGTACCGAATTCTCCTGGTAGCATGATCTCATGTAAAGTGCATTTCTTTTTTTTTAAACTGGTGACATGAATCAAAACTGAGCATGCTTGCACGTTTTCCCTTCAGGCAAGGATGGGTCTTTGCGAACCGCCTCCCAGCTGCTCTTCATATTCCGATCATAACCAAAAACTGAGAAAAATAAAAATAAAAATAAAAACAAATTCTTCCTATAACAGACACTCAAACATACTCGCTAATCAAGGACTCCAGATGCAACCCGCAGCGCGTAATGGGAGAACTAGCCTCCTGCATCAGTCGCAACGTAGCTGTATCCGTCATCCGCTGCTAAACAGTTCGTGACCGTACAATATCATGACATTCGTGATCCTCATCATCGCTATTGCAAAGATTGTGCGAGAAAGGTATACCACTGAGAAGGAAAGGGTGGGATAAAAGCAAGGGCAAATGCTTCAGGTTGTCTCCCCAGATGGGAAACACACAAACAACAAAGAAGGAAAAAGGCATCATGATGACAACGGCGGGAAAGTACGAACGAACAGTGCGATGCAATCGCTAATTGCTGTGCTGTGAGTTTCATAATCATCAATGCCGGCATATATCATCGTTTCGTATCGTGTCTTCCGTCATTTTCAGAGCCGTAACACGTCATCTAATTCGCACGAATCACAAGTCTTGAAACAAATTTGTTCGACAAACAATCGAAGTCGTTGCGGTTGAACTTGGTGCCGGACCGGCCACGAAGATAGCTCTCTGTTGTTGGACGTTAGTCAACCAGCCAGACGAATGAGCGCAAGAAGAACATACCAAACTGAGTCACGTGCTGGCGGACCTCAGTCATCGTCGTACACACATCAGGGTTCGAGTGCAGCAAGTGGTGGTGTTTCGTGGTCTCCCAGTCCGTAAAGGCGGGAAGCTTCTGTGAGATCGCCTGGAAGAGGCCAACAATGACGCCAACTGGGGTGGTCTCCATATCGTTGCAGAACTTCTCCACTGCAGCAGGTTCCTAAAGGGGGGGGGGGGGGTCAATTAATGGTTCCATCACATTCAAGTTCAAAACTACTCACTGGAGTACGGTAGTGGCAGTCAAATTGCATTTCCTCCCAGACCGCGAGAAGGATTGAGGCCAGGATGAAGATGGTGGGCCAGTTCTTCAACTTGTCGCCGCTGTAGACGCTAGAGTAGAGGCTTGATAGCTCCTCCAACACATCCTTCTGCAACTCGCGCCACATGTTTGCCATAGCACACTTGATTTGGAAATTGATCATAACTGGGGCCATCGTCTTGCCCTTAAACCTAGATGTTGATGAATCGATCTTTCCAGGCATGCATTGCTCCTCACCTAGACCTTCAACCATAGTCACGTGGAGCGTTAGGTTGTAGGCAATGATGAGTTTCAAGGCCTTGCGAATGACCGGCAGCTTGGTGCGGTAATAGTAGCGGAAAGCGGTCTTCAGCATCTGTGTCAAGAAAGGCGTGCCCTCGAAGTAGTCGTCGACAAACTTCTCAAAGGTACCGTTACCATCGATGTGGCGATCGAGATATTCGGAAAGCATAGCGTGGGAGATACCCTCCATTCCAGCAGACAATTTGGCAGTTTCAACCTCGAACTGAGTAGGCTCTCGGTGCATGCTCTCGACCCAGTCAACGCTAAAGCATTGCTCGTCGCGCACATACACCTCACGAGCGTTGATCGGGAGAATCTGACCATAACCGTGAGTGATGAAGAGGGTTGTCTCGTGTTCTGAGAAACCCTTGATGTTCCCCACCGAGAATCCAAGGGAGATGTGGCGCTCATAGTCTGCTTTCCAGTCCTTCATGAAGTACCCAATCTCCTTGATGTCAATGCGGGTGCAGGGAACCTGCCACAGGCGAGCATGAGACGGTTGACAACCGGCGCAAGGTTCACCTTTGTCACACTGGTAGTAAACAAGTCAGCAAGCACAAATCATCACCGTTGAGTTTGCGTTGAGCCCTTACAGTCTTCTTGAGGAACTTGCAACGCAGGCAAGCTCTCAGCTTCCGTATTTCGCTGGCCTGCTTCCGCTGGTCGGGCTTGAGCGGACCCTTGCGCTTGCCGATTCGCTTCTCGGTGGTCTCCGGCTTTCCATTCTGCGTTTGCTTCCGGACCTTGGTCTCGGCGGTCTTCGCAGCAATCGGGCTCTTGCGAGAAGGCTTTCTGCTCGGGGGTGAAGCAGAAGATGACTGCGAGGCGGCCGATCGCGGAGAGGTCGGCTTCTTCGAAGGCACCGGAACGGGTCGTACAATGTTCACAGGGCTGACTGCCGTGGGCGAGACTGAACCGTGCGAAGTGTGGTCGTAGGACACACGCCGGGTCAGGCTGTTGTTGAAAGCCGCATCGAAGTTGGTGTCAGAGCCAGGAGAGTTGATCGGATTGGTGATCTCAACAAAACTGCCGTAAGACGTTGAGTAGGAAGATTCCGACAAGCTTCTGTCGTGTAGCGTCTGCGTAGGATTGATGAAGAATTGATCTGGATAGGTGAACTCGTGAGGGCGCCGGGTCTCGATGGTATTCCAACCGTTGTCGCTGCTTGAACTAGTCAGAGACCGGACCTCTAGATAGGTGTCGGTCGGTGAGCTGCTCTCAAGCAGATTGTGCGGCGCCGCATATGTCATATCCGGAAGACCATGGGGGGCCGTGAAGCCCATGAGGTCGGCCTGGAAGTCTTGATAGGGAAATGGCACCATCTCCACTGGTGCGGACAGCGACAAGTAGGGCCCATCCAACAGGCTCGTGCTCATATGGTCATGGGTTGGGGGCATCAGATCCACGGGTGAAGAGTGGAGGGGCATGCCATAGCTGGCGGTAGCGTACTGAGGGGCGGACGACGCTTCCTCTTGAGTGTACTGAAGGTGGGGTTGCAAGTGCTGCCCGTGGAATTGCCAGTCGACGATCAAGTTAGGGTCTTGGACTACCGACTGATCATAGGCGTGACCGCTGGTTTGTAAGGGCGAGATATCTCGCGATCCATCGGGTCTCTGGGAGGGCTGGTGATCCACTGCCACGGGCCATTGCGTCGCCTGGAGATAGTTCCTAGAGTCGTAGTCTAGGCCAATGAAGCCGTCACTGGATAAATCGACGTTGGACATCGTGACAGATGAGACTATTTACCAAGGTAGAGAGGGAATAAAGGAAAGGAGGGCATCAAACAGATTTCGTTAAGAGGGAGACTTTTATCCCAAGAAGCAAAGGAAAGAAAGAGTAAGGAAAACCGGAACAAGCAAGAGGATAAGGGAAAGGAAACGTGAAGAAGAGGAGAACGAGGTGACAGGAGACCGAGCGATAGACGGAGGGGGGAAGAGGGGATGAATGGATGAATGGATGAATGGAGAAAGCAAGACACACAGATAGTAGTTAAGATAGAGACACAAGAGGAGAAACACACACACACACGCACACACACACGCGCACACACAGAGGAAGACACACACAAACCGTTGTGGGTGGTACAAAAAACAAATAAGAAAGAGAAGAAAGAAAAGGAAGTGGATGATGGGATGGAACAGCAACAGCAGCAGCAGCACCAAGCAAGCAGCAGCCGGGCGAGATGAGCCTGAGGAAGAGAAAAGCCCAGAATCAGAATCCGGGGGATGCAAAAGACAATCAAATGAGCCAGAGTAAAAGAAGGCGAAGGCGGGCGGGCGGATAGCATGAGGCCATGGCTTTTGAGAAAGAAATTAGAGATTTACTGATAGTAGTCTAGTCAATTTTACCAGGCTACTCAGAAGGGACTAAACAGGTGGGGATGGGATGGAAAGCCGTGGTGGTGATTGAAAGGGAAAAGCAGTGGGAAGTGGAACTAAGCAGCACTAAACAGCAAGTGAAGCACACACACAGACACACGTCCCCAGCAAAAGAGAGGGGACTCAAAGCAGCGGTGAAGCGGGAGTTGCGAAGAGTTGCGAGAAGTTGCATCGGCCGGAGAATACGCTAGGGAGTCCTGGGAAGGAGGCTTCCTCCCCAACCCGGTTTAGTCGGAGTAATTACCACGTCCCTTTACTGCTTGCTTCGACAAATCCATTACTTTTTTTTAAAAAAGATTTTTTGTCTTTACATTTCTTTTTCGTACTCGCCTTTTTATCATTTCCCTTTTTTTCTCCCTCTTTCCTTTTAGAATCACTTCTGTAGAATGGAAAATGTCAGAAGATGATGACGATGTTTGACACCACGTCCCATCTCCCGTCGTCTCAATTGGCGTGCTCATTGCTCACGCCGGCTACGATGACCCTGAAGGGCCTAGTCCACCCCTACCCACTCTCTATACTTACATACTTTCTCGTTACTTACATACATTAGTCGGCTTTTCGAGACAGACTGCGTACGGAGTAGACCCTCTCCCGATCAACAAAAGCAAGAAAGAAAAATTCAGTTTGATCCGGTTCGGCATCACCGTAGATTCGCTCGATTGACGAGTCTCATGATTATGCTTCCTAATCGCCTCTGGGCAAGCAAGCGAAACCTTAGACGATTTTGCAGAAGCATTACCGGTAGGCCTGGAAAAGAACAAGACGCTAGTCTGATTCATGGGTGAAAGGGCAGTACTAGTCGAACACAGACATGCACCGGCTGCATTTGTATCTCGTTGGCGCACCACTTCCGACGAAAATCACAGTTACTTGATTTGCCCACCTGACAATTGGTTGCGTTCACGGTCGCACTAACAGGTAAAGAAAGGGCTTAATATCCAAATATCTAGGTACGGTACAGTACCCAGCACCAATACTACTACTACTACTACTACCACTACCAATATCACCTTTATCTTCAAATGGAAGTTCATCAACAATGATGGATGGAAGACCAGGACTCTGGAGGCTCAAAACTAATGACCACGGTACGAGACGGAATTTTCCGTTGGCGAGACACGGGAGCAACATTCGGGACAGGAAGATCAGTGGAAACCGGCCAGATCGGTTGGGAGGGGCCCTCTATTGACTAAGGCCACACGATTATTGGCATGATGGGGCAGCAGCTCCGATCTTGCTCGGTTGGTCGTGGCAATAGTACTCAGATGGGCCGTTGTTCGGAATTGGCCCCGCAGCCACTTACCAAGTCCTACAGGAAGGTTGTCACTCACTTGATACTAGAAGACAGGGCACAGGCGCAGTCCGCGCCGCTGTTCAAACTCAGCCACCTCGCCGGGTGTATGTGTGTGCTGTATGTATGTACTGTACTATGTATTTTCCATCGATGATCCTATAGCAGGTGGTATCATGGAAAGGACATAAAAAGCTACGTGAAATTTATACTAGGCCCTGCAGCGCAACACAATCTATGACTGGAATCAACTACCTACTGAAAAACACTGGCTACTGCCTGAATGGGCATATCAATACAGAGTACTCAGCACTTTCCCAGGACCTGGTCATAGTACATTAGTCCTCACCTAGTCCCGGAGCTAAGTAGATCATAGCCATCATCCAATAATACCCAGCGGTCCTGGTCAATCAATGGTGCACACATGTTGGCTCCGTTGCCAACAAAGTGGCTGACTGTACATGAGCTCCAATCACCGCGACCATCTGATAGCATTTCTGTCCTCATTTAGCGGCTAGGGATTTCGAGAGCACGGAACAGAAGAAGAGGTCTTCTCTGCATCGGTCCCCTGGTGAGGATAGCGAAAGATCATGATGAAGCCCGTAATAATGATGATGATAATAATAATAATGATGATAATAATAATAATAGTAATAATAGTAATATTAATATTAATAATAATGATAATGACTATGGCAGTCACAATCTCCTCCTTCCGTCTCCCCATCAAGCCAAATCGGAAGCTTCAACATATGATATTGTGCACAACCGTTAGGCATATGCGATCTCGCGCTGCGTTGGTACGATCTGGCTACTGGTACTGTAATGTACATCTCTGTGCTGTCAGGATGTTGCTCGACGCTTCACGCTGGGTACGTATTTCTCCATTGCTTTCTGGCTGCCTTCGACCCATTCTAGCACAAGAAATCAAGGAAGAGAATTCCATAGCCGCCAACACATGTAATAGCTCATTTCGGCGTCGATTCGAAGCGCCAGAATGACCTATCCAAAGTTGATTCTCAACAAAAAACTTGTAACACCAGGGCAGGGCACTGTCAACGCCAGCAGCATTCACGGGACCGTGTGCGCAAAAGTCAAAACGGTCTTGGCCGAAGCCCTGGGACTAGTCATGTATGTCTATTTCACTAAACTCGACCTACAGAGTCTCTCCCTACAGCAGGTGGTACCGAGCCAGGCGTAAGGAAACGCTCTGCATATAGGCGGGTATGAAGGAAAGACAAGGCCCGTGGGCTCCACTCCCTAGGGGGGGGAGGACGCTCGACAAATCGATATGCCAGCTATGAAACAATCAGTCCCATTGAATTTTTGACTCGCAGTTTTGCCACGCCAGCCCGGCTTCACGCAAGAACATCTCCAAAGCGGTGTCTCTTTCGGCAGCCAGCGAATTTTCTAGCGATGCGCCGCCGATTGACGGCGATGGGCGCTTCAAAAAGGCAACCCATTCGGTTTTATTATTAGCACATCCACACAACCTTAGCTCGGACTTGGTGCTGTTGGGCTAGATCCAGAAGAAGGATGACGATGGATTCCCTAGTCAGATGGTCAGTGCTTGAGGGCCTTGGGGAGTTAGTCGTAGTTAGTAGTTATCGGCAGAAGTCGAGACAGCAGCGATCGATTAACTTTAAATCCTATCCGAGTCAAACCCCAAGCAGACGACCGAATCGAATGCTCTTGATCTGTTGGTTCCAGTATACCTGCCAGCCAGATGACTTTCAAGCACTTTCAAGCATGAGAGACGGGCCCAATCGCGGGTGCAACTGTGAGCCTCCATCAGATTGGTTGAGATATGATAGATGGTTTCCGTATTGTACTCGAGTAATTATTTGCCGGCAGGGGATCAATTCGAAGTACCCCGTACTGTGCGAACTTAGTAGTATGAGTAGCTACATGTAGGATTAAGAATCAGGCCGGAATGCTCGCTAGCCTCTCTCGGTCAATCGAAACGAAGATCCATTCCACAACCGCGATGAAAAGATAGGGGTGAGCGGAACGTGTCAATTGAGTCAGCGGCTCGGTGGTCTCGACAGTGATATTACGCTATCTCTTCCAAGCCCTGAGCTCGATGAAATGGAAAAGAACCGATCTGAGTAGTTTACGCACAAGGAGAAGCAAGAAGAAACGAATCCAACAAAGAAGATGTAAAGAGCAAGATGGGCTGAACTGCGCACTTGGCTTGTTTCCGCAACTCGACCAAACTGGGGCCTGAGGGGTCAATCGCCAGCCATGGCAACCCCACCGCCACCACCTGACCAGAAAAGAACAATGGTTTTCCTGAATGGCGATAACAGAGCTCATCCATTGGCAAGGGAAAAGGACAATTCAAAAGCTATCAGGAGCTGGATCAATTACCCATTTACTTGAGACAAAGAATTAGAACATTAGAAAAGCTCATATAAGTCCCCAACCGGCCTGGTCAAGCTAGCTTCCCATGCCGATCGTGATCGCGGCTTCAGGGAGACAGCGGCGCAAAGTTCGTTTTACTACCGCCAACCAAGCACCGAAGCCAGGAAACACGCAAAACCACCCCATCCGGCCTAAGGTATCAACAAGTGGTCGTTTGTCTGCTGCGTCTACAACGACATATACTGACCACCAGTCATTGCCGAGACCCAACGACGAAATGTGCGAACCACAAGTGCAACCCGGTGTGCCAGTTCTCTTCACCACGCCGCCTCTGCTCCTAGATGCTTTGGTGACGGAAACTTCCGAGGTCCAAGCGGAGACGGTCAACAAATGTTTACCTTTCTTGAAAGGCATTCACAGCACCCAGAATGGCCCTTTCAACCGGTTTGGCGTGCCCGCCCTCACGAGGGACGAGCATGTAGCCTATTTGTTCGACTCCCTAGAGGACTACCCAGAGGGGTTCGTTGCCATGGATGCCAGTCGGCCCTGGCTGGTCTACTGGGCCCTGGCAGCTTTGAGCCTTCTAGGTGAGGATATCAGTAGAGTCCGCGAACGGTGAGTAGAATGCCTGTGCCCCCTTAACTCCAGTCTTGTTTTGGGCCCGTGTGCTTTGTTGCAGATGCCGGATGGATCTTGGCCGAGTCCGAGGCAGATCCGGTGCCCAATAGATCGAGCGCCTACTTAGACTCATCGTTCTTGCTTTAGTGTTGTCAAATCATTCATACCCATGCAAAACCCGACGGGGGGCTTTGGAGGTGGCCATGGCCAATTGTCCCACTGCGCTTCGAGCTATGCTGCTGTACTTTCCCTTGCGATGATCGGAGGCGAAGAGGCATACAGCCTAATCGATAGGGAGAAGATGTGCGTTGTCGAGCTCATACCCCCCTACTTGGCCACTGGTGTCTGCTGCTGACCTCGACTCAGGTGGAGATGGCTTGGGAGACTGAAGCAGCCCGATGGGGGCTTTAGAGTCTGCGAAGGTGGGGAAGAAGATGTGCGGTAAAAAGCCCCTCACGACCTAGATCACTTCTTTTGCGTACATGCCATGCCGTACTGACTGCCAGTTCAGCGGCGCTTACTGCGCGATGGTCATCATATCACTACTAGATTTGCCACTTATTCTACCCCCGGAAGCCGAAGCCAGACAACATGGTCTGGAGACGTTCGATAGTGGCCTCTCCGCATATCTTTCTCGATGTCAGTGCTTTCTCCCCTGAGCTGACTGCGCTAGGCTGATCCCGAACTCTAGGTCAAACATTCGAAGGTGGGATTTCCGGAAGTCCCGGGTCGGAGGCACATGGCGCCTATGCATTCTGTGCTTTGGCCTGTCTGTGCATCCTGGGCCAACCTGAAGTGACCGTGGCGAGGTGAGTAGCGTTTGCTTTTCGCTCCTCTTCACTCTGAGTGCCGCTAATGGTGACAGGTGCATGGATGTCCCTCTTCTCTTGTCCTGGCTCTCTGCTCGACAGTATGCCCCTGAAGGCGGCTTTTCGGGGAGAACCAATAAGCTGGTTGACGGATGCTACAGCCACTGGGTTGGATCTTGCTGGCCACTGATCCAATCAGCGCTCGACGGAGCTCAACCGGCTGCAGGGCCCAAACAGAGCTCTGTGGGCAACCTCTACAGTCGGGAAGGCTTGACCCGATATATCCTTGGGTGTTGTCAGGCCAAGTTCGGGGGTCTTCGTGATAAGCCCGGAAAGTATGATTTGCCTCCGGAAAGTGTTGTCAATGGCGCCTCTGCTGACTGAGAGACGTGAAGACATGTAGATTCGTATCATACCTGCTATACCCTTGCGGGTCTAAGCACTACACAGCATTACCACTATCATACAACTCGCAGTGTCTCCAGCAAGGAGGACTTCGCGTCAGCTTTCTCATGGCAATTCACTTCTCCAGTCACTTCTGACGGCGATTCAGCTGATGTGAATGTGTTTGACGAGAACGACAAGGTTGCAGCTCTTCATCCACTTTACGTGATTCCTCATGCGGCTGCGGAAGGAATGCGCCTGTGGTGTGAAAGGCAACCAGTAAATGTGAATTAGCCAGCCTGGGACTTGGGAACATTTCTGGTTAATCAAGTGAGGAGATGGGAGCGAGTGACTGTCAGATAGTTAGAGTAAATCTCACTTGTACAGTACAGTACAGCTGCCTTATACATGCACGTAAGAATCAGCTTAAGATTAAGGGATCTGTGTGACCGCTGAGGTAGCTGGGGGCCGGAATGTGAGCAGAAGGACGTGCCCTTGAGCAGCCAGGCGGGCTGACAGACGAAAATGAAATGGCAGTGAGGATTGATTGAGGGTCGCACGAACTGTTTTGGTCACTTTGACAAGGACTCGACTTCAGTTCTCTGTACCACCTGAGCTGCCCTGCAGCACTGCTTTTCTCTATGTGCAGACGGTCCATCTAGCTCATTCTAGCTTTTCTAGGCGTTTTTCTGGGCGTTTTCCAAGACCAGCCCCTCGTCTACCCCTCCATCACTCACCATCCTCCGTTGATGAGAGCCTCCTTCCTCTTTCCACTTCCCCTGGCTAATCTATAGTTTGAGCGCCAACAGGAAGAGAAAAGAAGACAAAGACAACTCCCAGGAGCTTAGGCTCCAAAGACAGCCAGCAGATACCCCTCGAAGATGCAACACAAACGGAGCAAAGCATTCTTTACTCGCAGAGCGCAGAATTGCAACGCCCGGGGCAGCCAGCGGGCGACTCACACCATGCACAGACAAACCTGCTGCAGCCCGCCTATCCGTCATATCAAAAGGAGGGGGAAATATGGGGGGGCGCTCAAGAAGGAGGGGGGGGGCGGGCAAAAAGGTCAGTAAGAATCAATTTCTCCGGGGTGGCGCTGAATAAGAAGGAATCTGCTCATGTTACTCTGCAAGGTTGACCTCCCTCTCTTTGCCCCTCGTGTCAAAGTGGCATGGATTCCTTCTCCCCTCCCCCGGCGCACGAAGCGTCATTGCCAACTCATCAGTGCATCCGCAATGCCTACCTGTCAGTCAACGGCTCCAATGGAGGAGAAAGCAGGCTGGACCAATCCGATGCTGCTCTCCTGTGTGGCCAATCTACGGAGTAGATCCTATCCGGAATCTAGTCACGCAGCGTTGATACATCGAAAGTGGTGTGCTCCTTGACTCCCTTCGATGATGATGATGTTGTTGTTGTTATTGTTGTTGTTGTTGTCGTTCATTCCCACTCCCGGACCGCGGGGTTCAGTCGTATCTGCTATCAGGTTTACTCTGGATTGGCTCCGGGAGAGCGGTCAACCTACACTAAGCGAGCTACAGAATTCGGATCGTTTCCCGAGTCGTTAGGAATCGTGATCGTCTACTAGTATTGACCCGGGCGAAGAAGGGGAGGGGAGCCCAAAAAAGGGCCCGCCATTCAGTCCAATCACGGGCTCCAGTGTTGTTTCCTCCATCCCCCTCTTTCCTCCTCTCCATGTACAATGGAATCACGGCTTCCTTCTGGGCATTCTATTGCCAGGATTCATCTGCGCGACATGAACCCCTTGTTCTGAAGCATCATTCTGCATTAGCTGGATTTCACCGCACCTCCTTTCTCGTGGGTTCTTTCTCTCCGTCCTTCCATTACCTTCGTTATTATTTACTCGACCGGGCCACAATTGTGGATTCACAAGGCGGGGTTCAAGGGGCCATCGCTTTCACCCGGTTTCAAAGATGTGAATATGGTATGGGGACGAACCTTGCTCTATAACCCAGGAAAAAACCGTGACTCTAAACACAAAGGAGGAGAGGACAAGAGCCGCGCTTACTACAGCAGTGGACCACTCTAAGGTATGCCCAGAGAAACCAGTGCATGTTCTGCAGCAGAATAGATGAAGGCCGAGACGACCGGTTTGCTCGGGCGTTCAGAATTCTGAACAACATCTCCATCGTAGCCGCCTAGATTGGCGGCGAATTACACGGTGGCCGATGGGCCAGGACGTCCTGGATCTTTTCATTTTGGTCCACTGGTGAAAAGTCATGCCAGCACATCAGCGCTTGCCATATTCTGTTCTCCGAGCAGAACGGCAACGCAACGGACAAAGCTAGTGTGAGGTCTAGGACAATTCTCAAAGGCATGGCATTCGTCTGCTGCTTTTCCCCTCGGTCAACTGGTGGAGAATGGTCCAATTGAACCAGTTGCGAGCCACTTCCTTTGTTCTAATTCTATTCACCTTCCCGGGTTTTAGTAATTCTGGACAAAATCTTGCCTTTTTCTAAGAAGCTTTTTCCCCCCCCTTTTTGCCTCCTTTCTATCCATTGTGGCCGTTCCTCGACGACTTTTTCTGGTCTCTCTATCTGAGAAAAACTATGAAATAAATAATAATGATTAAAAGCTTTGAGGGCTGCTCCAGATGCCCCACCTCTTTCTTTGTGCGAATACCTGGGCGGTCATGAAAGATATCCCCCTCGACTCGCTTTTCTTCTCCCCCCTCTTGCTTTCCCCCAGTGTAGGGCACGCTGTGTTTGCCTCGTTCCTGGCCGCTAGTTTTATTTTCACTTGCGACTTTCGTCCGTTGGTTTGAATTGGTCCCTTCATTCTTTTCGCTGGGCTTTTCTTGACCCAATCTTCTCACACCTGGTGACGGGCCTCGCTGCTGGCTATTGTAAGATATAGCAAGTCACATTGGCTGTTCGATGAAGACTGTGGTCATTGGGCACCAACCGACACCGTTTACATAGGGTCATCTCGATGCCATCTGTGTGACCGCCAGGATCTTGTGCAGTATCAATCGATCTGGGGCAGCGAATACTGAACCAATACTGGCCTGGACCATACGACCTATTGGACCTGGACAGGTTTCCGCGATGTACTATATTCTCTATCTTGCAAGTATGTAGATACTCTGTTTGCAATTCGTCGAACAAGGTCTCGTTCGGTCCCTTTGTGCCTTCTATGATTGGATCCGAAGGGTCACCGCTTCGGATGACCCTCGCTGTGCTTCCTATGGATGGTTGTCGTGATGGTGGTCGTTGTTGCCTCCCCTGGTGCACTGCTGCTATGCACGCCATGAAGCACAAAGGTTCCAGCAGACCATGGCTAGTGAGGGCTTGGTTTCAACTTCGCGCAGTTTTGATTTGCTCTCTCTCCTGGAAGTCCGAGGGGGTGGCAGGGTACCTTTTTTTTTTCTTTCTCCGTTTTCCTTTATGCTCATCGGTTTCTCACACCGTTCAACGTCCAATAACCATGTGTACAGGTCTCTGCCGACGGCGCCGCTGGCCAGAACCTCTCTACGAATCATACAGCGGCGCTACCGGGTATACGTGCATTGTCCGAGTCAACAACCGCGAGTACCAGACGGACGCCGTCTATGAATCGGACACCCTGGCTCGGGAAAATGCAGCGATGCGGGCCTACCTGATTTGCCGCAACTTCTCCGTCAACGACGGCATGTACCCTGCCGGGCACGACCACGGCGGTGTCATCCAGGGCATTCCGGTCGCCATTGGCACCGGACGCAAAGTCCGGTACGGGGTGGACGACACGGACACTTCGACTAGTGGCGAGAGCCGAAGTAGTGGCGGCAGCAGCAGCCCGGAGAGCTATGGAGGGGACCGGATCGATTGCGACCGGCAATCAGCGATGGGTCCGCCTCGAGCGTTGGCGTTTAGTCGGTAGGTTGCTTTCTGAAGGGAGGGAGGGGGATTGATGGAATAACGCGCACGCCGGGGGGGGGAGGAGAAAGGTCTATAGGCGCACACTGGCCGTGCCGATACCCAAATAAAAGCTTGTTCTTGCCTTGGCTTTTACAAGACTTGAGCCAGGGAAACGGGGGCACAAGATGAGATGGAATATCGGCTTGGCTTTTGATGACGATGACTTTATGATTTTATGACACGAACCCGGATATCCGATAGATCGAAGCGTCTCTTTTTTTGGTTTTGGTTTGGGTCTTGTTACCCCCATCTGATGAATGTGATGAATGCTCATTGTGGAAGAATGGATTGGATGGAACTTGTCCGCGGGTGGGATCACACAGGAACACCCCGGATGAGATGAATGTATGTATGTTTTGGAGGATTGCATTGCGGTGGCTAGCGGTGTCTTTTCTGGGAGGTGGCGGTGTGCATTGTCGGACTGTCGGACTGTTGTGTTGGACTGCGACCGAATGTGATGTCTCACGAATTGCTTATGCGCTCAATTGCTATAGTTAGGTGTGCAGGAGTGCAGGTATGTATGTATAGTACATACGGTGGTGATTTGTCTCCTCTTCTTCCGAAGCCCAGTGTCTTTTTGGCTGAGTGTGATACGAAACCACGGTCAGATTCGATGTACAGTGATTACCGACATAACAACTCACAAACTTAGCCTTTCACCGGTTGTTTATCGGAGAAGGAAGCCTTGTGGCCTGAGGTATGCAGCATCACTGCCACAGCCGCTGACACATCATGACGTAGGCAGTGAAGTGGTGTCTCCAGTTGTCGTCCCAGGCAGGAAGGCGCAACTGACGATCCACGTAATGGCCGAAGAGTGACAGCATTGCCATTGCCATGACCATGACCATTACCAGCACAACTCCAGCCATAACATAAGTGATGATATCAACTCCTCATCCACATCCCGGTCGAAGGACGACCCCCTTCTTCTCACCATTGCTTGTGAAAAGCTTGACTTTGTGTGAATTCCAGGATCTCCCCCCTCCTCTCTCCAAAACACTCCCACTCCTCTCCCATTGTTCTCCCCGATAACTTATATGCCTCTTGTCAATTGCCGCCCGTAAAAAGCCCTCGCCGCAACATGCGGTCTATACTAGGTCGGATTCCGCCCATTCCCTCTCGTCAACGACTACAACAATGGGGGAGTAGTAGTCGCCTCGAGTCCGGCTTCCCTGCTGCACCGTCATTAGTACTTTCTATGGTACAAGCGGGCCCAGGGCGGCGGCGGCGACAGTTCCAGACCGGAGCAGCGCCGCCGGCGCACTACGACTACAACACGAGCACGAGCACGAGCACGAGGAATGTTGCATTGAGTGCTCCGACGGCGGGCCAAACCCGGTGGTTCAGCAGCATCAATGCGCGTCTGCAGTCCAAAGGTCCGCGGCAAGAATTGGAGCGGTTAGAGATCAAGGATGCGAAGCCGGAGGAGGACGAGGAAGGGGTCTGTTCGTCCAAGGCCCAGAAGGGGGAAGACAAACTTGGGCAGGCCATGACAAAGGGTTAGTAATTGCCTTTGAAACCTCTTCTACCTTTACCTTGTGTCTTCTGTGTCACGCTTTGGGGTATTCACGCGAACTAAATCAATCGCACCCAGGAAAACTGTTGACTACGCCGTCACGATTGTTTAAGCTGCTTCTTCCGTTGTCGACCAAATACCACCGTGATCATAAGGGTGAGTCCCAGAAAATCTCCTTCTGCCTTCGCTGCGCATGAAAAGAAAGGCGCCATGCTGACTGACTTCTGTGTGTGTGCAAAAGACATCGAACCCATCGCTTTTCTCATCCACCCTCAGCAACCACTTTCGCACCTGGAACGCCTCATTCAAGCCGAGATCCCGCTCATCAAGACGAAGGACGGACAAGCCCGAGCCCCGTCCGTCTCCTTCATCGCGCTCCAACTCGAGGACAACCCGATCCGGCCGCGGAAGGCGCTCTACGAGGGGACCGAGGCCGAAGTGCGCAAGCTGGAGGAACTCGGACAGGTTAAAGAGGAGAAGAAGCCCTCGGACGACGACACGTACACGTACCTGCGACGCAGCGAGCCCGGCGGCGGCGAGAAGTCCATGGAGCATCGCTTTGTGCGGTGGTCGCAATCCACCGAGGTGGGCGATTTCATCCGCGACGCCGCGCGCGCGCGGGAGTTCATCGTCTCGGTCGAAAGCGCGCCGGCGGGCCAGCACCAGATCCACGTGGCGGTGCCCTCGTTCAACGAGCGCACGCACTTCCTGCGCATGCGGCTGCGGAAGATTTCCGACCGGATCAAGAACATCGCGGACATCAAGCATGAATGTGACGCCTTGGCGCACCGCGGGGCGCAGCGCGTGGCCATGGGCGGGTTCGGCGTGCTGGCGTTCTGGTGGTGCCTCGTGTACAAACTCACCTTCGAGACCGACCTGGGCTGGGATACGATGGAGCCCGTCACCTACCTGGTCAGTTTGTCAACGCTGATGGGTGGCTATCTGTGGTTCCTCTATCACAACCGGGAAATCTCGTACCGGTCGGCCCTCGACTTCACCATCAATGCGCGCCAGAAGAAGCTCTACGAGAGGAAAGGGGTGGATTTGCGGCTGTGGGAATCGCTCATCGACGAGGGCAATTCGCTCCGCAAGGAAATCAAGTCCATTGCTGCCGAGTACGACGAGGACTGGGACGAGCTGAAAGATGAGCGTGACCAGCGCGTGACGGAAGCTTTGAAACAGGAGCGCGCGCAGAAGAACGGCTCTCGACAGAATGACAATGATGCAGACGATTAATTGATTGTCGGGGTTGGGAGGTTCGAAAAAGTCTATTCTAGGCTAAACCGCCCTCGTCCTTTCGAACCTGATCGATCATCTCTTCCATCTTCATTGCTCACTCCGCATAACTTTCGCTAATTGACCACACCTTCACCCGTTCCGCACCGGATCATAATATTCCTTCTTGCCCGAGACACCGCTGTTCGTCTGACTCTGCGGTTGTGGTTGTCTCTGTGGCGACTTTGAGCGACCTAGATATTCTGTTAATATTCGTTTGTTTGGTTTGGTTTTCCAATTGTGTACAGGATAAAATGTATATAGTTTTGACTCCGCACATAGACATGTATGTATGTATACTTCCAACCTTCTCCTGGGCTTTGAGTTTCTTGTTCGTCCCCCTCTTTTCTTCAAGGGTCAAATACCGGGAACACAACCAGAGGGCATAAGAAAGAAGAGACTCCCCCCCAAAAAAGCAAACTTACCCCTTTCCTCTCCGCGCCTGCGATTGCGATTATTCCGCACATCCCGGGACCGAAACACGCTGTACAGCAACCACCCCGCCACCCAGTTGGGTCCGTACTCGCCGCCGCCGTCGCCGCCGCCGGTTGTGTCTCCTCCTGCTGCTCCCGCTGCTCCTCCTCCTGGGCCTGTGGCAGCCGCACCCCCGGTGGTGGTATTGGTCGGAGAGGCGGCGGAGGTGACGACCGCCCCGCGAGCGAACAGCGGGCGGGTCAATGGACCCGCGTTCCGGGCGATCTCGAGGATCCCCCACCGTTGTCGCTCGGGGCGGATGTGGTGCCAGAAGTACGGGGGTTTGGTGGAGGGGTCGGCGGCGACGCTGTCCAGGAGGTTGGAGCGGTCTTCGTTGAGGTGGTTGTAGGTTAGGATTGCTTCGTCCTGATTTTGGGGGTGGTGAATATTAGTTTTGGGTGCTGGGATTGGGATGGGGGGTTCTCTGTTGATGGCCGGGGGGGGGGGGTTGATATCGGGTTAGGTAGGGGAGGAGATGGGGATTGCGGGTGTGTAGAGTAGAGATAGATGGCTGGATGGATGAATTGTGTATAACCCTTTCGGTAGAAGAGGTGTGGGTCTATATGTGTGTGTTCCAAGAAAGTGTGTGTGCGAGGCCTGTCGTATGAAATTTGAGGCAATCAGGGTAGAAGGTCCAGGGAGACAGACATGCTTCAACGGGAGTATACACAATCGATCATTCAGCAGAGAAGTTACTCACCCTCATTGCACGATAATACTGCTCATGCTGCGGATCATGCGAGTTCAAGCCTAGGGCTTGCATAAACTCTTCCTTGGAGGCTCGAGGGCCCACAGCCATGTTTCTTGCTTCGTGCGAACAGGTTGGGCGAGCAACAGAGAAAGAAACTAATAGTCAAAGATTGTGTCTGGCTCTTGCTCTTTGCAAATTTGATGAATTATTGGGCAGAGTTGCTGGATTGAGTCGAGTGCCAGTGCAAGTTCTTGAACGGGAAGGAGAAGGAAGTGACAACAATGAAAACAAGAGCAGATCTAGAGGCGAAGAACCTGGGTCGTGGATTGCCTGCAGACTGAATGAGAATAGAAGAAAAGAACAATGAAGATTGGATGCGTAGTTGGTTGTTCGAGGGGCCAAAGGTTAGTGATACCTAGATATATAGACATTTCGATCGATCCATGATCACACCCCCATCGCACCCTCCTGGTCTCCTGGTTTGTATTCTCAGTCTCGGGGAGAACAACGGGTGAAAACACAGGAAAGCATGGCGAACGCCTGGTGAACAGGGATTTCTTGTCTAATGAAGTTTGGGCCAAGTTGAGTACAAGAATAGTGGATGGGGGAGGAGGAGGGTTGTAGAGAATCAAACAGATGGCCCTTGTCATGGCAAACCAATTTTTAGGGGGTGGGTGTTTTCTCCGAATGGGAATTTGAACAATGGAATAAAACGCAATGGATCTGAGAACTGGGAGACTGAGATGGATGGTAATTCAGTGAATTAGTTGTACGACGAGATTGAATGGCTCTGAACGAGGATTGTCAGTTACGGTTCGCTATGAAAGTCACGACGGATAGACTCGGGGCGGATTGCCACGATCGTTCCCAAAGGGAAGGATTTATCGGATGTAGGATCTGCCCTTTGTTTTGTGTATCAACTGGTCCATTACCTATGATCTAACTCGCACTTAGCAAGATAGATAGGATGCATAGGTTGACGAGATATAGGTGGAGGAATGGATCATTGAATGAATAGATCCCCCATGGATCTGCTGCAGCTGCACCGTTTCTCGTCCTCAGTCGAAGATAGAATTCGAGCACCACAACCCCTCTTCCCCATCTCGACCCGAACAATAAAACACCAGAGAGTGAGAGGGCCGTTTGTTTCCCAGCAATCCCGGGTCGGAATCATCCGTCATCCGTCCCACTCTATAGACAAGGGGAAATGGTGGGGAGTGTATGTAACTATCCGATCGTCAGGAGATATGTCTGGAGACAAGGGGCGACTTTGCATTGGATCAATTGACTAAACTACCGAAATTGATTGTCAGGCCATTTCTTGACGACTTTCAAGGACAAGGGAGGGAGGCCACGGCAATGTGATGATATGATGTTGGGGCAGAAGTATGGGACGCACATAAATCCAGTGATTACTGTACCTCGAGAGCGAGTCACGCGATCCGTACCAAGACCATACTTGCATGCTCGACCGACCTGATGAAGTTGCTAGGTTCAGGTTTGGCATGTAACATGCCCCTCTTGTCTTGATGTGCATGGAGACGAAACACACGTTCAGAAGGATCTGGGATTCCACTGATCCAATCCGGTTTGTTGATTATGGTAGGTGGTTGGTCAACCGAGACATTACCGAAAATCCCAAAGATGAGACTGTCAGATTTTAACTTTAGTACTTTGTCCGGACAAAGGATAACAAAGAAGAAAGACAGCAGGAATGTGCGAACAGTCAATCCATACAGCACGCCCACCCCGGTCTAACCGTCGGTTGTGTAACCAAACCGCGCTTCATCCAGGTCAGGGAAGGGTCTCCTGGGCTGGGCAAGGTTCAGTTGTGGCTGTTAATCCCATGGGGAAGAAGATGGTGGGAAGAGAAGATACGGCTAGTGGGGTGTCCTTCCGACAGGAGGATGGATCAGGGAGTCACTTCATCTGACTGATGGACAGCTAGGAAGGCTGATGGGTGGGTGGTTGATCCATCATCGACAACCAGGGAAAAAAAGACCGGAGTAAACAAACACTCCGGTCTGGTTTGCAAGGTCCGTTGTGATTTTTCTAGAACCCACTCTATTGAATCAATCGATCAATCAACCAATCAATCAGGAATGGAATAAGAGTGAGGTGCAACAGGGAAGAGAAGGTGGGGGGGGAGGGAGAGAGGAAGAACTTTGGTATGCTTAGAAGCAGAAGGAAATATAATAGGATAAAGTAGCTGGAAGGAGGAGGTTCCCACCACACACAAACCAGCCTCGCTCTTTTTTGTTTACAGTTCTTCCCTTCCCCCTCAGAATATCATAACTATGACCATGACCATGAATATGACCAGGACCGGGCTAAGACATTCGTTCGCAGACAAACAGAAAGACGGACGAACCGACTCTCGAGATTTCCTGCATGCACAACATTCAATCTACCCACGCAACATCCCAGCAGCCCATCATCACTCTCAAGTCGCCATTCCTTTCCCTCCCTGACCTCTCGGCTTCCAAATGGTTGCGAAATCTGGAATCTCGTGTAAAGGTCATAAGCGAGGCGATGGGTTGTACATCCAAACGGAGAAATGGGTTCGAACCAAGACCACATCGACCACCCACACCCAGATGACACGCACACCAGCACTCAAGTGCATACACAACACGAATACGCTTCACGAATACATACCTTTCCATCCCAATTCGCATCCTCTCTCCCTCTTTAGCCGCAAAGCGGACAGTTGACTTGGACGGATCGGTTCTTCCTTTCCCTCTCGTCCTCCTCCCCACCCCTTTCGCGCGAGAACGAGCCAACTACCATTAGACTGGCGTGATAAGGGTGAAGTGAGAAGAAGAAAAGCAAATCATCTACCCTGAGTTTGTTTGTCTGTCTCATCCTAAGTTCCCTTGGCTTGGAGGAATCACAGGTTCATATACAAGGTGGGTCTAAAGAAACAAACGCGGGCTAGGGTGCAACTCGAAAAAGACAGAAGACTGGAGAGGGGGGAAAGGGGAATTGGGTATTAGATGAAAATTGAAAAGTGCGATCAACCCTCGTGATGATTCGTGACGACGACGACGATGATGAAGATGACATGCAAGAGACAAAAATACAAACAGATGCTGCTGTTCCCTTCCGTTTCTCCTCGCTTGTGGTGCAGCCTTGATGAAAAAGACTATCTTTTATTGTGTGGAAGGGTGATTCGCTCTCGTGGTCACCTCTCCGCTCGGGCGGTATCGATTTGCATTGGGTCTTCTTGTACGGAGTGTATGGCCTCACTCCCTCACGCGGCATTATTCAGTTCAACTCAGTAACCCAGCCTGCTTGCTTCATCTTCTCTCTACCTTGCTCCTTGGGTCATCTGAAAGTCTCGATGAGTTTTCCGTGATCGTGGTTTAGGGGCTTTCTCCATAGTATCTGCGCAAGAAATCCTCGACTTCCTTGTAATCCTTCTTGACTTGGGTCAGGGTCTTGCGGATATTCTCAAGCGAAACCTCCTGATCGGGCTCATCGTTGGTGCCAGTCTCGTCCTTGCCGGCTCCGTAGTGTTGGATCTTCTCACATGCGTCCTTGACCTTAATCAGTCCCAGAGTGGCTGAGGAACCTTTCAGATAGTGACCCAGAGACGAAAGCTCGGCCAAGTCCTTGTCCGCTCTATTGTTATCGAGGGTCAGTAAGCACTCGAAAGAATGAAGACCATGGCTTACAGGTGCTTCTCCATCTTATCGAACGTGTTCTCTGCTTGATCAAAGAATCCAAACACGATGCCTTTACTAAAGTCATTATCGCCTTCGTCATCCATCTCAAGAATCTGCTCAAATGTGTTTTGGTCGATGGTCTCAGACATTTCTGCCAGCGTAGTTGGGGGGTTGGTAGCGGCGGTGCTGGTGGCGGTCGTGGTGGCAGGAGCAGCAGAGGCACCGCTGCTGCTGCTCTTGGAGGTATCGGCAGAAGCTGGAGCAGCAGCAGCAGCAGCAGCAGTGGTGGTGGTTGTGGTGTTATCGGGGGTGTCGTTGGTAACAGCGGTGCTGTTGGTGCCGCTGAGCTTCTCCTTGGGCTAGTGCGCACAGTTAGCAGTTACAAACTGCATTTCTGGACAAGGGGCTCGCGGGTACGTACAGACTCCTCCACGGTCTTAGTGGTGGTGCTGGGCGCCATGGTGGAAATCGGTGGTGATGAGATGAAGCTTGTCACTCGGTTGGCTGGATCGAGGTGTGGAAAGTGACTCGTGTTGGCGGGGGAGGGGAAGTCCAAACGCCCTCTCGCGATCACCCGAACTGGATGGATGGCTCTTGCGCGCTTGTCTTCTGTTTTGACGCTGTGGGTCGGTCTATTCCGGATATTCGCCGAGCCCAAAACGGAAACCTGCGAACACAGCGGGTATACTTGGGATTTGGGAAGGAAAATTTACACGGCACGAATCTGTAGAGGATTCACTGGTCAGTTTTGGTCTTTGGTCCGCATAGCAAGTTTACAACAACAACGGCAGCAGTGGCAACAACAACGGCAACAGTAGTAGCAGCAACAGAAACAGCAACAGTAGTGCGACAGGATCCTGGTGAGATGGCCCTACGCAATGAGGGTGTTACGACAGGTCTTCAAAGAAATCAACCTAGCACCACACACAGAATCGAAGGTATAGAGCAGACTGTCCAAACAGCAGTGCACACACGATGGACAGAGGGGGAGTTTATCAATTCAAGATTGACTGTAAGATGTGTGTGTGTAATGGAATGCGAGATCGAGTCCAAGAAGACAGGGAAATCAAGGGAAGCTCAACAGAGGGGGGATGGGGAGCGGGGCGAAAGGAGGAACAGACAAGGAATCTAATTAATTTGCAGCTTGCGAAGGTTACTTCAGATATGCTCTCACCACCTGGGGTAAGGTATCAGGAGAAACCGGTGAGGCTGGGATCCAGGGTGTGAAAGATGAATGAAAGGGAAAGGGAAGAGATATGGTGCGGTGCAAATTGCAGATATCAATCAATCACAGCAAATACACACTAAATGGGGCGCATATGGAGATCACCTAGAGAGAACAGCTGTCTGGATCAGGAGGAGACGGAGTCGCTCGCGCAAGGTGGCCCGTGGATAAGGTAATGAAAAAGGATAGAGGGGGAGGGGTAGTGGTTGTGTAGAGAGGCAGAGTAGAAGACAGCCGAATGTCAAAAAGCGGAAGCAAGCACAAGCAAAATTTGAGAACAAGAAACACCGAGAAAACACTGAGAACAACGCGTTCCTAGTTAAGCACGAAGAGGGGACCTTTCCCACCTTGGACCCAATTTCCTTTCCACAGTTCAGGTGTTTTGAGTATCGAATAGTCTCAAGCAACTCTGAGCACCTATAACGGAAAATAACCAAATTAAAATAGATTAAGAGAGATGGGGAAGAGATGATGACGATAAGGCAAAAAAGGCGATGGGACAGGAAGGTTCCCGATTTGGACAAGTGACTTTGATGGAAGTATTAGCGAAGAGGGGAGGAGGGGGAGAAGAAAGAGAGGAGAGAGAGAGAGAGGAGAAAGAAAGATACGCAGAAGGGAGACAGCGATTGAAGTTCTCTTTTTCCTCCTTCTCTTTTGTTCAATGGGGTTTTTTTGTTTTCTGAATTTCCTTTTCTTTTTTCTCTTCCCTTTTTTTACAGTATCGTTAGGCGCGCCGTCAAAGAGGAACCAGAAAGTGGAGGGGCAGAGAGAGAGAAAGGAGGGGAGCCAGTGGGCTGGGTTGGCGGACAAAGGATAAACAGATTAAATAAAAAATAATGAAGAATCATACAGTATGATACCTACAGGAGGTAAGGCACTTTCCTTTCCTTTTCTTTTTCGTCTCCCTGGGTCTGTTTCTTTTACTCAGCTTGTTGGTGGTCAGTTTTGATCTAGGAATTCGAGAAGTGCAGAATTAGTCCCGATGATGAACACAATTTTTGCAGTTAACAGTCAAATCTTAATCGCAAAATACTCCCAGGGAGTAACAGAATCGAAACTGGTGCGAGTGCCTTTTGTTCCAAGTGGAATAAATTACTTACGGTAAGTTAAGTTCCTTATTTTAGTCACCGTTAGGGTCGAAGCGACTGGGGATTGGGATTATCGAGGTGCTTAAGGATTCTGGATCAGATGGTGGTTGGTACAGTGGATCCGCCCTCATGGGACGAACCGAAGGGGGCCAGAGAGGGGGGGGGAGGGTCAGTGAGAGAAAAAAAAAACGGATATCTGAAGAGGAAAAAGATGGAGACAACTAGATGGAACAAGTGACAGGATGGAGGTTGATGCGAAGCGGTCAACTTATTGGACACCGGCAGTGTGGGCTGCAGTAGGCATTATACAGGAGATGGAATTTTGATGATATTTACACCAACCAGAGAGTACCCGTTGACAGTTCAGTGGCACTTGTTAAGAACGAGGTGAACAGGATTAAAGCATTAAATAGTGGGCTTGAGAATGATTATTGTACTCAGTGAACTATCAAAGGGACTGAGAAAGTTTACAAACTGTCGGGGAGGTGGGCTAGACGGTGGGAAAGGATTCGAAGAACGATTGTTATTGCAGAGACGACGACGACGATCAGTGCTGGGTGGGAAAAGAGAGAGCGGGACTCAAGCATATAAAACAGCCGATGACGGGATCCTCTGTCGTCATCCCGAGACTCCTCGCGCCTGCTTGCGGAGTGTTGCTGACTGATATCCCAATCAATGTTAATGTCAATGTCTACTTCCATTAATGTTGACCGTGCGTCGCTGTTTGTACTCATATTCTTTCCTTCGACTCTTACCATTTTATCCATGAACTGCACAGTCTGATTTGATCACCTACCTCGCCAGAGTAACAGCAATGCCCAGATATATGGAGTCAGCTTGAATAAAAAAACAATCCACAAGAAAGTGAAGGGAGGAGGGGGAAAAAAGCCTCAAAAATATTTAGGTCAAACATTTCACAAATACTGAAGCCAGCGATTGGTTGGGAGGTGATGTGGGGAGAAGAGAGAGAAAAAGAAAAAGCAAAAGGCGTCAAAAAAGGGAAGGACAAATAGCCGGACCATCCAATCCATTCATTATTCATCCATGGTGGACGGACTAACCCCAACCAAGAATGCACAACTCCATCATCGTCACCTTCCACAGTCTGCGCCCATCAGCCCAGTCAAAATGCCTTTCTTCCAGAACCTAAGTGAAGAGAAGAAGAAGAAGAAGAAGAAGAAGAAGAAGAAGAAGAAGAAGAAGAAGAAGAAGAAGAAGAAGAAGAGAAGACAGATATCACAGGCATCAAGGGGGCTAGACTGCCTTACCAGTATTGGCAAGTCTTGCAGGTCTGAGAGCCTGGGGACAAACCTCCGTTGTCTCACTCTTTCACTCTTGCTGACCTATCTTCATTCTTATGTTCCCTGACTTCCTCGACAGAGTCAAACGAAGGAACGGCCGATTCGCATTCTCCACCCGGAAGGTGATGCACGCTGAAATCATAGGGCCACAACTGACGTAGGGGTGTGTCGGTCTTTGAGATGCCTTTTCTTCGGGTATTGGCGTCAATCTCCACCACTGTACTGTACACCACCACTGCCTGACTCTCTCAACCAACTTCATCAGCAAGGTAACGGGACATGAGGGCACGTGGAACCAGGAGTATCAACCCGGTACAAACCTGTATCCCTATGTAATAGGATCAGAGCTCAGCCTTGAAATCAAGGAAAGAGCTACATAGGTACATTCCGGGTGGAAAACGCTCGGGAATAGCAGCGGTCCATGCATCTCTAGGCCCCATCCCGTTGACGATGATGCTTGCGACGTTCCGCGTCGACGACAAAATGTCCGACTTACCAGCCACCACCACTACCACCACCGATTCTGGACCCTGTTCAGGTCTGAACTCGCCACGACGTTGCCCGAAGAAGGGGGGAGGGTTCTGGGCCCTTCAGGCTTTCAGGAGTTGGCTGGTGTTGGTTGGGCTACTACCAATGGTGCAAACACCAGAGAAGTTCATGCTCATCAAAGGACACGAAACGAGGAAATCCTTCCCTTGACTCAGATTCCATGATTCCGTCCGTCCGTTGGCTGCGGGGAGAGGGACAGTCACCGGCGGATTGAAAACCATTGGATATGAGAAATTGCGGTATTAGGGCAGCCATAAATGGAGCTCCATGGCGTACAGGATGTTGCCCTTCACATTGCAAAATCGAGAAGAACAAGATCAATCGATGGGTGTTCATCTTAGTGAGTCTGTCTATATATCTACAGCTGTGAGAAACAGTGGAGGGCTAGTCGTCATTGAACATGCCGTTGCCGTGGCTGTTTCTTTTTTTTTTTATTATTATTCTTTGTTTGCCAGGAAAGATGAAGAAATCCAGAAACAACCAGGACGCATGAACGCCGATGGAAAAGCCCTCTGGGCCTGGCGGGCAGAAGGGACCAATGATGGAGAGCAGCTGTTTCCGAATGACATCATAGCGGGGAAAGAATGGTACCAATCATGACCGCCGCTGACGTTAGCGGGGCTTTGCCAAGACAGCCAAAGCTTGGGCCGTCTCCCACTCACTTCCCTCTCCGGCTCAGCCTCCGAGCCAAAGTGACTTTTGCTTCTTCGATTGTGAATTTAGATTATTAGTCTGGACTCTGAGAGAAGGGCGATTGCGCTGAGGGGATCAATTTATGCCCTTTAGAGTTACAGATTTACAGTAATAAAGACTGAGAGAAGGAATTCTAGTCTGATCTACCCTGACTCGAATCATGTGCCCCAGGCGAGGTTATCTTGTGGTTGCTCGAGTCAGCGCCACCGACAGCACCGTAGGGGCCTCCTAAATTCACCGGAGATCGACCCTCCACTTAAGAATAATGATTTCCATGCAAACATGTACAGTACAGAGGTGGCTTTTTTCTCGCTCCGGCCGATTCTCGCTGTCAATTCCTCCGGCAGCGGTTGATCGCAGAGCTCGATTAGGCAATTCTTAGGCTTACCTGCCAGCTGCCCGTCATCAATTCATAGATCTTCACCTACATGAGGACTGTACTCTCTACTCTCTACATGCCCTTCCTTTCTTCGGGTGGACGGGGTCATTTGCCTTGGGTCACGAACCCTCATGTTCATAGGGGAAGAAACAGAGCACCGCCAGTCTGCGCTGATCACGGTAACCACCTCATTGCGGTGCATGATCTCCCCTAACTCATCGCAGC